CACCTTAGAATTGAACGTTGCTGGACTGATCTGGTGTATACATATAGTACGTTGGAATGCCATGTAGGGGTAACAGCCTAGCAGAGGTTCCTTTGCAGCTGTCTCCCTTCTCTTCCCCCATTTAGACAAAGCAGGCATTGCTGTAGAGGACCTGAAGAAGTACTGTAACTTTTGCTCCAGAAAGTTGCACTGAAAAATGAATTTAGCTGCATGTTTAATCATGAGCTGGAAATGACAGACGAGGAAAGGTGGTTCTGGTCCGCCCAGTGACTCACCAACTGCAGCTCTGTATGTTGGTACCACTTGCTTTGTCTTTATGACTGAAAAAGTCAAAGATATGGCAAAAGGCAGTGATGGGTTATTAATAAAAAGAACTTAGGGAAGTCATCAGAAAAGAGGTAGAACTCACAGGAATATCATCAGTTGGGAGTCGATTTGATTTCCAGTTCCCCACTAGAAAGGGAAGAAAAGGAAAGGACAAAGCTTTGTGGGCACTGGGCACAGGTGTGGGCAGGGAGTGAAGGGAAGAAACCTAGTGTATTGAGTAAATAGGGAATAATAAAGGTAAAGCCGAAATGGGTAATTAGAAAATTTGGCCACCAAAGAACACAGAGGCAGCGGAAAGTTTAACTAGGACTCGAGGATTAGAGAAATGTCTTCCATATAAATTATTTTTTAAAATAAAGCCATTTACTAAGTAGTTGAAGGGTGACACTGTGTTTTAAGTTGGTGCACGAACTTAGTAGTGAGTATGTGAAGTTTATGGAAAATGAGATCGATAGGATACGCGAGGATAAGGGAAAACCAGAGTGATTGTAATCATGAGGGAGAAGTTGAAAAGAAAGTCATAGAAAGGTATTATTGCATGAAACTATCTACAGTCCTCAAAGGATTAATTTCAAAATACCAGGGGGAAGAGCTGCTGTGCGAGAGCTCAGTTCTGTGTCAGAAGCGTGCTGGATTTCACCTGTGAGCAGGGCAGAGGAGGGGAGGGGAAGGGAGGATTGCTCGGTGCAGTGCGGTTTTTATCTTCCCCAAACTGGACTAGAGGGGTCTTTGATCCCACCACGCTGTTGCAAAAGCATATGAAAGGTCTGTATGGCCTGTGGCATCTTTGTCTAAATTAGGTTATAAATGGCCCCAGGCTCTTTTGGTTCCCTCAAGTGGCAAACCAGATTGGGGGAGCAAGGCGGGGGGTGGATTTGGAGAGACAGAGAAGTAGAGGGATTTAGGATTTACACAAAGTAAGGGGCGTTCAGTTCAAGTTGTCCCCAAAATAAGCATCTGGCAGGTTTACAGATAGAAGTTGTGACTTTACCACTCGTAGTGTTAGAGGGAGAAAATGTAAACATTTACACTTAGTTTAGTTCTTTAGCTCTTAGAGCAAAGGGCACCATGGCAAGCAGGGTGTGGGGTTTGGAACAGAGTTTCGTTCGCTGGCCACTGAGACTGGACAATTTTTCCCTGTGAATGCAGAGAGGCTTTGTTTTTGCAGGGAGAGGTCAATTCTAGGGGAGTTTTATGTCAGCAAGACGTAGGGGCCCATTAACGATTACTTCTGATAGGCAGGCAAAACAGTTAACTGAATGTGTGTCTAGATTTCATGCTGCCAAATTGTACAGGAAAAGCCTGCGTGTCTCAGCTTTGAAAAAATTACAGCTCTGCTTGCAGACTTGGGAGACAATACTGCATTGTTTACCCCATGTTTGTTTCCAAAAGGTTATTATAAAGCAGGAGTTGGAAATAAGCTCTTTGAAAAGTTTCATTCTGGGACAGAAACCTGCATTGAGGTTTGGATTCCATAATAGATGCTGGCACCACTGATAACCCTAAAATTAATGTGATCTGGAGTGTAATGATGAGAGAGGGTGGTTGCTTCCCAAGAATGCCTATATTTCATTCTTTTGTTGTAATTAATTACAATAATTTTCTGAAATCCTAGGTTTTGTAATGGCTTTATCAAAATTCCTACGAAGTCTCAGTACAGAGCACCTCTTCTTATGTATTTTAACCTCTGTCTTTTCTCTGTGTTTTGTGCAAGTAGGAAGCTCAGATGCTTGCCAGCTTTCATCCCTCTAGTGATTTTGCGAAGTGTAATCATTGTAAAGTGCAATTACTTAATATGTAGCTCATTCACTAAAACCCCAAGGATAAAGGCAGTGAGTAATGCGAGTCATTAGCAGAGCAATGGTATCTAAAAAGATGAAGAGTCATGCATCAAGTACCAATCCATTTAGTCTTGAATTAAGAATTTAAAAAATCGCTAGTCAGATGTGATGGATATTATCTCCAGGCAAATTAAAGTAGTTACCCTGGAATGCTATGTGCTGCTGCTAGTGTTTTTCTCTTTTGGTATTGGAAGTGCTGATCAGTTACATGTCCTGCTGCTCTGTCTGTCTGTCTGAGACACTTGCAGACCAGCAGCTTTCCCAGGTTCCATCCGCATCTCTCTTTCCTTTCCAGGCACTTCATACCTTCATGCCTGCAATACGGAAACTGTCCAGAAAATATGAAGGACTGTTCAGGATTGATCAGCAGTGTTTAGCATTCAAACTCCTGTTTTTCAGTCACTTATTTTTATTCAGCAGTCCAGGTTTCAACCATTTTTTTGCTTTTCTTTGTTCTAAGTCATATGAGTTGGAGTGGATTTCTTCTCCGTCTCATTCCAGTGAGGAAATTTTTGGGTCCAAGGACATAGAATTTGACTGGACAATAAATGGCTGGAGCATTAACATTTCCATCATTGTTCTGAGAGGGTAGTTTGCAGTTTAATAGGTCATATGAGCCATCATCTTATTTTTTACATGCTTTGAGATGTACAAGAGCCTAAACCATGTCAGTGCTACAACATGGCATTATGTGTAGCAGTCTGAAGGGGCACCAAGGATTAAACACAGGTGAAATGAATTATGCACGCTGGTAAATCAGGAGTTATGTTTTGCTTCCAAGGTTTCCTGTGAGAACAAAAATGCCAGGCTTCCTGAATTACAATGAACAAAAAACCAAACAACAAAACAAGGCATGTGCCGCATGTCTGTGAGGCTCCCTTGAAGTCAACAGGACTCGGGCAACATTTCACTAGTTGGGAATCTACTATCAGAGGTATCATAAGGTCAGTGATATTATTAGGAATGTGAAATAATACACAATAAATGAGTACACCAGTCTGTTATGTTGCTCATGGACCACATTTATAAGGCGTTGTGCTATAGAGTCACTTTTAACTTGTGCGTCAAAAACAGACCACAGCCTTCTACTGTGACTTGATCCGTCTTAAAATAGGGGTTATAACCCACAAGATGTGCTACCATGTGTTCCCTAGCTAAAAATATTCCAGGAAATGTAACAGTGGACCACAGATAATCTTTAAATTATATTTATTGTAAATCAGGTATGTATAATCATTTTTGCATACTGATTTTTGTCTTTGTATCAATTTCTCAAGTCTTTGGGAGGCAACTTTTTTATTCTGCACTTCTGTAACTATTGAGAAGCCCCTGAAACACTGACGATACCGTTAGGGCTTTTCTATTCCTTTTGCATTGTATATTGCTTTGCATTTTATTTGTGATTGCCCACCATACCTAGGATCAGTAAAACATACAGCATGTACCTCGGAGAGTCTCTTTGAAAGAGGTTTGGGGTTTTTTTGTACTGTATTGCATAGGAACAGGTAAGTCCTTTACGTGGATAGCCTTTGAGATATTGGGATGCTGCCACTTTAGGGATCCTAAACACAGTGTGAGTATGTTCATGAAATTCTTTATAGGACTACATTCTAAATGACTCAATCCACTTCATAGGAAGTCAAATGATTTGAAAAAAAGAAGCTATAGATGAAACCTGGCAATGTCAGATGTCAAAGTAGGTGATGCAGTAGGCAAACAAAACTGTTATATTAGATCAGACATTTACAGGTCACTGGTCTAGAAGAAGTATATATTTCACAGAAGAAGTTATCTGTAAGATATTCCATTTGTATACCTGATTTTGTTGAGACTTGGGTGTCACCCTTGAACACAGGAATACAAAATCCTTGGAAGCATTGCATTATATGAAAAACTACATGTTTTCTCCTTTTTTCCCCCAGTTTGGTTGAGCTGGGAATCCTCAACAGAAGCTGTGAGAAGCAAAGCTTGAGGTTTAAGTCTACTACATTCCTTGAGGTAGCTGCACACAAACAAATTATTTTGGAGCGTGTGAAGAACAAGCTGTGCTTTTAAAGGGAAGCTTTAGGAAGCCCTTCAGAATTGCCTAGTTGTTATGAAGCTCGTTTGCAGATGTAGGGCTGGGCTGTAGGACATCTAGAGCTTGCATCATGTGCTTACAACTCTTCAGACTGGAATAGATTTACTTCCGTGACTGGCTGCATCCATGCGCTCACAGCCTTAGCCGAGGAAATGCAAAAGCTATGGAACGTATCCCCTAAAAGGTGAAAAACAGTGCCATATCCAGCAGACACTTCTGTGTTCCCCACCCGGAGAACAATCTCCGTAAGACTGGAGAACTGCAGGCAGAGGTCTGCAAAAGGTAGACACTAAGGCGATACGTGGAGGTTTTTTCACAGTATCTATCACATTGCTTTCAGGCCAATGCACCCTTTCCATTATTAAAACTAATAAATCAGGGAAAAAATGATGGATGTAGCTGTAAGATTGGTTGTCCATCAGTGACTGCAGAGGTTCTTAGCTGTCAACTCACTGTTCTTTCAGTCAGCACCAACCGTGAAATGTAGTCCCTTGTTTCTGTAAGTTCGTACATATATGAGGTTTGGTTTGTTTTTTGTTTTTTTTTTTAATGAAAAGTAGTAGTTGGCTGGTTCAACACAGAGATTTGGCTTGTGAAAATTACTTCTGTTTTAATCATTGTATGTTGAAATGTTAAGATTTTTTTCTTAATTGAGCAATGTTTTGTGATTGTTTACTACTACTAGTGTGGTGCATGTGAGAAGAAAATACCCAAAACAATAAAACACACACAGTAAAGAAGCCACAGAAGCATTAAGCCCTTCCCTTTCAAAACTTTATTTCCTGATGCTAGCATCTCTGCCTAGCATTTCACCTCAGAAGATACTTTTTGTCTTAAGAGATACTAATGATAGGGGAGGATGTCTTCTCTTCAGTGTCTAACTTGTACCCATTCCTGCTGATGGTGAATAGTTGATAAGGAGCAACTGCCCATCACTCTGAACACACAGTGTTGTTCTGATCAAAGTGCCTAGTTGTGCCAGAATTCATCTGAAGAGTCTTAAACTGAGTTGTATCTTTTCTAACTGGAAAAGTTATGCATTGAAAAGCTGAAGGGAAGACTTAAATGATATTTAATAGAGACAAATCTCCAGTAGATCTTTCTTTGGTTTAAAAGCAACTTTTTATGTTTCACTTCAGTTGGTCTCTAGCGGGTTTGGTAATCCTGTGTATGTCTAGATGGGTTTAACACTGATTTATTGTTTTAATAATGGACAGAAATCAAACTGGTGCAGCTGCCCCAAACAAGACAGTTTGACTGCAGGGAGGCAAACCCTCCTGTGTGAATATTTCTTGTTAGAAGCAAGTTTCTAACAATTTGGGTTGGGTAATTCCTTGCCAGTATAAGCTTTATGAATATAAACCAGTTAGAATCTTTCCATAAATAAGAGTGTTTATTATCATCTTGCATAAATAGGAGCAGTTTTGTGCATGAATTGGATATGCTGGTTTAAACCTGCTTGCCGTGGTTCAGCTCAGCTTAGTTACGCAGACAGGTGCAAGCTGAATAAATACAGTCAATGTTCAATTCCTACAAAACAGTTCACATATAAACTTCACTGGAAAAACTAGTTTTCGTTTCAAACCAACCCAAGCAATCCTTAAGTTTCCATAACAGATATTTCACTTGTATCAGTTAATAGAATTTAAAATCCGCAGTTTAGGGAGTGAGGAGGACTCAGTATAATGAACGAGTTACGTCCCCTTACCAATGTAACCTGGCCTATAGCCCAGTAATGGATCTGGTAACACTGATACTCCAGAAAATAGCTTTATTTGCCCACTTCATGTTTCAGACTGAAAGGTTATGCACTGGGTTGTCTTAAGGCAGTGTGCTATAGGCTGGTTACTGGTCCTTCAGCATCTCATCGCTCCTGGGGCACTCACAGAAAGCATGGAAATGCTCAGGGAAAAGTTTTCTGTGCACTGTGGGACATATGTGGTGGTTTGCAGGGACTTGCCTGCTCTACACTTTGGCTGGCAGCTCTGACCCGCCGGGAAGATGAAGCCCCAGTAGGTGCCCCATTTAGATCTGGCCTATTTTGGCTGAAGGTATGTTCCCTTTCTTTTTTGTTTCTTAGGAAGTGCTTGAGATGCCAGTCAGTCTGTCTGCACCTCACTGGTCCCGGGTTCTGCTGCTTGCTGGCTTGCCCTGCTTCAGGCCACGAAATATTTGGGTTCGTCAGGCCGGAGTTTCATGACCTTGTCCACGCAGAGCAGGATGAGAGTCAGAAACCAGAGGCTCCAGCCAACGGCTGCTGCAATCCATCCATAATCATCCACACCTGTCGCGCAGCACATGGCTGCTTGTGTGCAGAAGTTCATGTCTGGTGGCAAAGAAATTAAAAGAGCTGATGGGAGACCAAGTACATAACAGATTCTCCTTGCAGATAAGACAGTGACTTCACCGTATGCCCTGTGGCCTGTCAGTCTGCTTTGGCATCTTTCTCCTAGGCCTGTCTCTTAACCTGGGGGATGGCAATATTCAGTTTCATCTGTATGTCTTCAAGACTCAATCATCCCTGTCTGGCCAAACACCTAAGCTGCTCCTCTTACTACTGCGCTCACCATTATGGAAATCTTTTAAAACACCTACTTAGCATTTCCTCATTCAGTTTTAGGAATGGAGTGTGATAGAAGTAGATACTTAAAATTAAAAATAAGCCTGGGATAAAGAAAACCTTATGTGAGAGAGTCAGAGATTCTCTAGTGGAGACACGCTTCAGCAGGATCTCCAATAGTTTAAGTACTCAGTACCTCTGCTGGCAATAGATGCAGAGACTGTTCTCTGCTGGGTGTGACTTGCATATAACAGCTGCAAAATACACCACCATTGGGGGATCATTATTTTATGTGTTTAAAAATGAAATAATTTTAATAATTCAATGTATTTTTTCTTGCACCTTTTGCATCTTTTTTTTAAAAAATCAGTCCAATTTTCTAAAGTCAGTTAAGGACTGTGTCATTTGTTGTTTCAGTTATGCTGTTGGCTAAAGGTATCTGCCAAATTTTTTCCATCACAAGGGCACAGTGAAGATACCTAGCTCTGTGTCTGCATCCTGGGTGGTAACGTGGAAATAATCAAAGGGATCTTGAGGACACTGGTATCTTGACCCCTTGGCCTGGAATAGAAGCTGAGCATGAAACCCCAGCACCCAGGAGAGCCGAGGCAGCCAAAACAACCTTGCAGCTATATGCATTCCATGTGGACATGCATTAAGCTTGTCAGCTGTGAAAAGCAAATGTCTTCTGAGCTTGGTGCAGGGCAGCCAGCATCCTGCACGTTTCCAGAGAAAAGGCAAGTGCGGGTGCTGCTCAGTTGCTCTCGTTCATGTGTGTCAGGCAGGACCATGTTCCTGTGCGTTGGCCTTTAGTGCAGTACAATTGTCCTGTGTGACAGGGAGCAGCTCTTCCCAGAACGAGAGATATGTTCTATATGTGCCTAGAGAAGGGGGAGGGACACATGCCCCCTATGCCCATGTCATGCTTTGAAGTAGCACGGCTCTGCTGGTACACATACTATAGTTCGGGAAGTGCAGGACTGCTGGGATATTTGACATTTGGGATGGAGAATGACTGGAAGGGCTGGTGGGATCTCAGGCTGCTTGGGACTGGCTGTCTGGGGAATACCTGGTGGGGTAGGGGAAGGAGGTTTCTTCCCAAAGTCCACATTGTGCCTACAGGCAGTCAGTCTGGCAGGGAGCTTTAAGGCACACAAATTACATTAGTTATTAATTGATCTGTTCAAAGCTATGAATCCATTAGAATTTGCATAAGATATATAGGACATGCCAGTGGAGGAGTCTTAGAAATGTGTCCCAGAGTTTTACCCGCAATGGGAGCCTTGACAACAGATAAATCCTTTTCCAGGACAGCCTCTCAGTCACCTGTGTCGTCTCATCACCTGGCTGTATCATGGTAGTAATGATAGTAATGAATTATGAAGACTTACTAAGACATGGTGATTCGTACTCAGTTGTGAGCATGGAGCTTGTTGAAACATTGGAGATGTCTTCAGCTGCTGCTGGAAGAAAAGCATAGGAGAAAAAGCAAGTTGGATTAGAAAATCAATACTGGGCATCAAGCATAAAAATCTGAAAGCTGTTGGTCCTGAAGAGATCTGTGGGATGGAAACAACCTGGAGAAAATAAGTTCCTGCCCCTAAGCATCACTGCATCAGGGTAAGCCTCCTCACTCTACCACTGTCAACACAGGCTCTAGAGAGACCTGCTGGAGCACCAGCCATAAGGAGCAGATGGATCACTGCGCCTCTACCTGAGCATGTCCCTGGTGTGAGCTGTTCACTCAGAGCTCAAATTAACCACTGTCCTTTCCCAAACTACAGGGGCAGAACGAACAGGAATGAAATAGGAGAGAGCATTCAGTGGCATGGGGAGATCCATGGCCAGCGAGGTGTACGTCTACCTCCTTTTGCCCTTAGAAAATTCCTGGTGGCTCTCTGGGGTGCAAAGGAATCTGGCTGAGCTGAGGGCTGAGCCCGTCCGTGCAGAGCTTCAGCAGATCCACCACAGCCTCAGTGGGAAGCTTTGGCTTTGCTGCAGATCAGGTGGAGCTGTGCCTGAAACTCATTAACCAGCTCAGATTGGAACACACAACATAGAGAAATAAGTAAGGGAGGGAGAGGAGGACAGGGACTTCAGTTGTCTCTTTATCCTACTTCCTACCTAGAATCGGAGCACACTTGCAGTCTAGGACAGTGTGGTGACTGGTCTCCAAGCCTCCAAATGTACATGGCATCACAGGCCAAACCCTCGTTAGACCTCTTAATCCTCCCCTTGCTCCTCAGTTTCAGCGTGCACCTCATAACACTGCAGGATCAGATGTGAGGACAGCTGCAGGATGCTACGGTCCCTGTGCATTAATACCAGCCTGTCCCCTGCTGCAGAAGGAAGGGAGTCAAAAAAATATCTCCTCCTGGGCCACTATGAGCAGCACAGTTCAAGTTCAGCCCGATGAAGTATCCTGTTGCTGAAATGGTCCCCTGCAGTGATAAATGAAAAAAAGCCTGGAGAGGCTACAGGAGTAAGGGTTCCTGCTGCATGCTGATGGAGGGGCTCCAATGTGGTGCTGGTCTGGTCCAAAGACCAGGCAGCAGCTATGAAAGAACTATTTCCAGTCAAACCATTACTGTGGAGTGTGATAGAGAGAAAATCAGTTCCAGCTTGATTTTGCTGAAGACTTCAAAATAATGGCTCAGGTTTAGTTTCAGCTCAGGAAAACGAAACCAAACAAGTTCTTTGGCTAAACCTTTGCTTTGAGTTTGGTATTTTCCAAGTAATAGCTTATAAACTGGTGTTGTCCTGCAGATGTCCCCCTTCAGGCCACCTGCTTTGCATTTTGAGCTGACTGACCATCAGCAAGACCAGAGCTTTCCTTCTGGCTGCCACCACACTGGGAACAGGTCCCTGGGCAGACTGCTCCAGGGAAGGGTCTGAGTGCTCCCCATTCCTCTCCCTAGACTCTGCTAGGACTTGCTGAATGACCTTAGTCAAGCCCATAATTTGTTTTCTGAGTTAATAAATACCTTACAGGAGCACTGAGAAGGATCATTAAAAACTGTATGACCTGTGGAAGAAAGCGCTGCAGAATATAGTGTTGGTTCATGTTTATAGACTTTCCAGCCCAAAGGACAGGCTGTCAAAGCTAACCCATCTTTAAACATCTGGCAGGTCTCAACTGGTGCTGATACACAAATGCAGGCAGTAGCCTGATGGGAAAAAAGCAGCTCATGGTTCTCATTTACATTTTGGTTTTAGGCAACTTCTCCAACTAAGGGGACACCCAAGCCAGATTTCCTGAAAAAAAAAACCCAACTAATAAGAGCTAAACTGGACTACAGTGAGCCTCTTGGTATTTCAAGTGGTCCCTTGCTTCAGCAAGCACATGATGGCCAAGTAACTGTGGTCCCCTATCTCCTTGCCATTCAGTGGAGCAACCTGCCGCTCAGCCACATTTACAGTGGATCTGTAAATAACTGGCAAAAGCACCTCTCTTCAGAAAGATGCTGTGATCAGTCGTGTCAGGTAATTCTCATTAGCATTAATCAATTCCAGCTCCTTACACTTTTTAGATGAGACAGTGGAGTCTACCTTGTTTTTAAAGGACAAATTACTGTCGGTGGGCAATACATGTAAGTATATAGCAGTAGGAAGTAGGTACAGTACTAAGTATAGGTATAGTAGTAGGAGTAAGGGGAAAAGGCAGGGTATGGAAACTGGAGCATAAGAGAAATACCTGCTGAGCAGGAATGCCAGGTCACAGTGGCGAAGAAGAGCACAGCGAAGGCTGCCCAGGGCTCGCAGAAGTGCTTCATGCCGGGGGTCCAGCTCCCACCCAAGCTGCCACACAGACCAGGTCGCTGTCACTGGCAGCTCTGGTTCAGCAAATCCTTGATCACCTCAGAGAGCCAGTGTGCAGGGCAGAGGGTGGAGCAAAGGAGCTTTCTGCTGCCAGGACACCTTGAACTTTCCTGCCACAACCGGGTGAGGAAAGAGAAGGGCTCCAACCAAAAGAGCTCTAGCCAGAGGTGGATTCCAGCACTGAGGCAGGTGAAGGGCCCCTGAAGGTCAAACCTGGAGGTTTCTCCCCAGGATCTGCTGCAGCTGGAGCAAGGAAAGGCCTCTGGAGCCAGCCCTTCCCAGCAGGGTCCCGGGCAGCTTCTGTCTTCTGAGTCTCCTTTTGGTCCTGTGAAGATGGTCTCATAGAGCTAGACAGGAGCAGAGGATCAGTGTGAGAATTCATCTCCCTATTTGTCTTTGATTTTGCATGTTTGCTGGCTTGACTTCCCCAAAAACTGCCCAGTAGTGATGCTTTTTTGGAATTTTGGAAGGTCTGTGTGGAAGCCTAAAAAAAAAAAAAAAAACCCAAAAAACCGCAGTCTTTGGTCACACTGGTACAGCAGCTGCTGAGTTAACACAGGGTATGGGCATGTTTCCACCGAGAAATGGCATGAAACCAGTGGCTTTGTGTAGGCTACTGGCAGTTACTGCCCTGTAACAATGGCCTTTCCTTAAGGGCCTGTGTTGGGTTCTGGGTTCTCTGCACAGGAGAACTGCTTCTGTTCTCACTCTCTGAGCACAGCTGTGTCACTTCCTCCATCGTCCATGTGCAGTGTGATGCTGGAAAAGATTTTTTTTTTTTTCTTCTCTTGTAGTTATACCACCACCTCTGTGACATGGGCAAAGCCAAGAGATGCTTCTCGCTGGCACAGCTTTATCTGCAGACTGGGAGGGATGCTGGCAAAATGGCAACAGCTAGAGGGCAAGATAAAAACAAGTGCAGCATGTTGCTGCAGTCCCCCATGCTGTTGGCTCTGCTTGCTGCTATCTTTGACCCACCACAATGTTGTTGATAGAGAAAATTTCAGGTATTAGATTGGACAGGAAGGCACTGGGAGAGGTGGGCTTGGTAGGGAGCAGGTTCCTGGTGCTCTTCAGCAGTGGTCACCCACAGCTTTGGGTGCTGACATGAGAACAAGGTTGTCTGGGGCCTGTTTGGGATGTGCAGCTACCCCTTGGGAGGCAAGGGGGAAGGTGTCTAAGGCAACAATTCAGCAATCCTAGGAGGACAGACAGTATCTAAAATTACTTTTTTTTCCCCTCCACACTGCTGAAATCTGCAGGGAGGGGCGTAATAGACTTTTCACAGGAACTGCAGCAAACTGCATGCAATGAGGTGATGTTATGCAAAACTGTGAGGTTAGTTTGGTCTCCCATTGTTTAAGAAAAACCTTGAGGAAAAAAAACACATAGGTTTAGCCCTGCCCAGTGTTTCTGTGGGGTGAACCTGCTTGTTCTCCCTGCTGTCAACCCCCCACCAAAAACACTCTCCTTCCCTCCAGCTGGCAGTATTTCCACAGTGCAGCAGGACACGGGCAACCACAGGTTTTCCCCAGAGAAAGGGCAGGCCAAGCCACAGATGAAGGCAGGTCAGCTGAAGCGGGCACCTTTACCCGCCTTGTCTCCTTGTTTTCATGTCAACACGCTGCTGGGGCTGGAAGAGATAGGGCTGTGCCAGCCAGTCCCCGACAGCTGCCTCCTGCTGCTGCAGGTCTCTGTGGCCCTGTCCTTGGGTTGACACCTGAGGGGTGGCCCAAAGTGTGTGGTGCTCGGCTGGCAGCCAGGCTGGGTGCTTGACCCCAGCAGCCATTGCTCTTGGTCTCAGTAGACATGAGTCATGGCAGGGGAGATGCTGGAAAAACGCCATGAAAGCTCATTTTGCTTGAAATTAACCTAGAGGATAATCCTTCTCTCTGCCTCATTTCAGTGTCTAAGTCCTTTTATGCTGGTTGTCTTTAATTTGTGTTTTCATCTCAGTGCTCTGTTGCATCAAAACTAAAACTTAGCTCTTTACTGAGGAAAGGTACTCCACTTTATTCCAGTTTCACTATTCCCTCCTGAATTTCTCATCCGTCATACCTGATGAAAGTTGACCTGGCAGTTAATTTTCTAAAAATAAGTAGTATAAAATTGTTCTGTGCAGCACAAAGTGTTTGAGGGGAAATGAAAAGACAAAACTGCTCTGCTATTGCATGAATGATTAATTTGTAATGAAATCTCTTCTGAATTTTAACTATTACCTAAATGCTTTTTGTCAGCTTGCAGGTAGATGTGCCCATTTCTAAGGGATGCTGAAAATATTTTGCACAATTAAAAATTTCTTTTGCTTTCCAAAATGTGTTCCCTCTGTGGTTCATAAAAGACCTGCTCCGAAGTCTCCTGAATCAGTGAAGAGGCTGCGCTTGGATTCAGTGAGTTTTGGATCGGATTGGAAATTAAGACTTTGCTTGTTAAGTTCAGACACAATGGGAGCCTTATAAAATCATTTCCTGACGCAGATTTGGATTTGTTTCATTTCTTCTTTGTAACGCATTCATATTTCGGAGCTATGACTGCCCGAAGAACACTAAGTCTCCAAAGCCTTCCCTAGCTTGGTTTCTAGGCACTGCAGGAATGCCTGTCTGCACGGGGGTGCCCTGGCATGCAAGGCACAACTGCAGCACCAGCAGAGATGGGCGATTCCTTTCCTTGGGCTCCCCTTCCCATGCAGGTCTCAAGGCAGGACTCTTTTTATGTGAATTAGGTACATCCCCAGTCCTACCCCTGGAGACTCTTCCAGGGTGTGTGGGGCTGCTGGTCAGCTTTTCATGATGATGATGAAGGAGGAAATACCTACCATTTGGTATATTTTGTGCCACAGAGACTTCGCAGTTAACGTTCTCTGCTGACCAAGGCATTACCCTTGACATGTCACCACCAGGTGTGGCTCTCAAAGTCATTACCTTTATTACACATGTACACACTCACTCTAGATGTATTTTCTGTTTACATAGGCAACATGTTTGTATTTTTAATTCCAAATGAAAGCTGATTGCTGCTTCAATCCTGTTCCATCCCAACAGTGACCAGCATGATAGCAACAGAGCCGCAGCACAGTATTTAACCCAGGGCAAAACACACAGTCCAGAGCAGTGCAGCAGACAGGTACATTATATCTGCGCATATCAGTGATAAGGGGACAAATCCCTTTTTTCTATATGACTCTTGAAGTTGTGTTAACTACACCCCTACTCTCGTTTCAGTGTACCTGAGGTGCTACTCTGTTTAGCTGTTTTGGTAAAAAAGCTAAAAAATTAACATCTCGTGTAGTCACACAAAACCACCTGCATGGTGGAGCTAAGCATGGAGTGATTACAGCTGAGATACCGATCCTAGAGCCACCTACTGCTGCTGGAAGTGGTGACAGCCCAGCTGGAGGAGTTGCATATTTGGAACCCCCCTGAGCTCTGTGTGTTGGCACAATGAAGGTGATGATTAGTTGACAATTCTTAGTTATTATTCACAAGGGCTCTGTACAGCCTTTGAAGTCATGGTGCTAAATACCAAGGACGATGCTTGCACGTGGTCTCTGCTATTGGTGAGACCACAAGAGTGGATCTATCTCCTACACTTGCTTTGTAGGTAGCGGAATCTCCAAGTGCAGCTATAGAAAAGATGCCTGTTGGGAGGGCAGGTCTGTCTGTTAGCAGTCCACTCTGTATTGTGGGCTCCCTCCCAGGTGGCCTTTATAAAGCTCAAAAAAGCTTAAGGGCCTTTATAAAGCCCTCAAAATTGCTTTAAAAAGCTCAAAACCTTAATCCTGATACCAGTATGTATCCATCAGGAAGGGGACAATTTTGTCTGGTATCTTCACTGATGTGAAAAATAACCATCTAAGGTAAACCTACCTGTGAACAGGGAATTTGAGTTTTAAAATGAAGCAAACAGAGGGAAAAAAAAAATCAAAACCACAAGGGTTTTAGTCCTAAATTGAAAGAAAGGTAGTGGGGATCTGCTTTCTGTTGCACAGAGGAAAGCAGCTCTAGCATTTCGAAAAACTCCACAGCCATGCCCTTTGTGTTTTCTAGTCCAGGCTGGGGTTGCTAGTAGACCAATGTTGAGCATGTGGCCCTGCTGTGACCTCATGCTGTCCCTCTAGAGACCTCAGAGAGAAAACCCAAGACTAGCTGCCCAGGCAGCATGGGGCTGATGGAGAAGGGCTGCCTTCAGCTCACCTGGACAGAGGCACTGGCGCCAGCAATGAGCCTGCTGACGGGGCTCCTCTGAACGGCGCCTCATCATCAGCTGTCATCATCTGATCTTTAATAATAAGATTATTATAAAATAATGTTCTTACTTCTACACGCCAGAGGCATGAAATAAGATACACTTTCTGCTTCTCTCCTCTGCCTGAGAAGTGGGGGGAGGGAAGGGCAAAAGAGATGGCTTTATCCCTGCACTCCATGTTCGCTTACTCCTCAGCTAACGGGATGGAGTGGCCAGCGTCATGTGGTTTGCTTTGGCAATGAAGTGTGTGTTGGGGGCTCCTTCTACTCCCCCCGTCCCAACAGCTTGAAGGAAAGTAACTGAGTGTAACCGTGGGACTGAATAAGAGCAGCATAGGAGCAAAACAGAAGCAAATCCTGGTGCCATCAAATGAACACAAGAGCTTTGCCAAAGGGAAGAATGTGCTGCAGGTTCAGAGGTGGGAGTAGTAGCCTGAGAAGCTTGGGTTTTTCTGTTGTGTCAATATACGTCAGTTGAGAACTGAATGATGACTCCTGTTATTTATCATTATAGCACAGGCTGGAAGGCAACGTCCTTCCCTTCCCACACGAGCTTCCCCACACCCCTGCATGGCAGACGTGCAGTCAATGGCAATGACTTCACTTCTGCCTTACCAAGAGAAGTTCCCATTTCTCAGCAGAAAGTGCTGACTTTCATCAGCCTTTACTCTCTTTCTTTGGTAGCACAGATGGAGAAAGCAGAGCTGAAAGCAGTGTTAGGCTTATGGTTGGACTAGATGATCTTCAAGGTCTTTTCCAACCTAGATGATTCTGTGATTCTGTGACCACTGGCAGTGGCTGGTATGGGAGAGGCACGATGCATGCAGGTGGGAGGCCGGGGAGCCCTGTGGCCAGTTCAACTGGAGAGTTGCCGAACAAAATGAATGTTTTAGACCTACCTGTCAAAATTACCTTATAATTTTTAATACCTCCCTTTTGGGCTGCGCAGCTTAAGGCAGCTGGATTTCGGGAAGAGGCAGGAGCCCTCTCGCTTTAGCTGACCTCACAAAGTGGGGCTGCTCTTTGCTTTTCAGTAGAAAAACCTCTGTGCTGAGAAACTCTCTGCTGTGACTCACCTTTCAGCATTGTTCCCTTGGACAAGTGATACCCTTTGGCTCGTTGGGTCAGGGTTACTAGATAGCTCCGAAAAAACACGTCTGAGAAAGCATTTCTCTGAGTGGTACCTTACAATTTACATATAACTGTGCATTTTCATTAGCTTTTCTTTTGAGATAAAACTTCTGAGAGGTGCTAGACTTAATAGTGACCTAGCCAGCCTTATTTGTGGGGGTGAAACCCTGTCTCCTCTGACCTCAGTGGGACCTAAGCCGCTGGTTTTAGGAGGGACCGAATTTCTCTCTGGAGCCCTTGATTTAGCAGCTGAAGCGGGAGAAGGTCTATAAAGCCACTTTTTCCCACAGCATTTGTTATTTCAAGGGGTGAGAATCCAGTTCCCTGTCAGCATTGCCCCAGGCTAGCACAACTCTGCTGACTGAGCCCCTGCGCTCCCAGCCCCCCCTTTGCCGTATAGTTCTGCCCGTCCCCCGGCTGCAGGAAAATCATTAATCTTCCATTGTTTCTCTGTCCTTTCCCAGGCTGCCTTCAGCAAGGAAAAACCAGTACGAAAGAGTGCAGAAGTTTTCCACCTCCCTAGTGACTGATCCTCCATCCAAATGAGTTTTTATGTGTTTATAGCCCCCCGCATACAGCAGGTTTCAAAGGTTCTCGCTCATTTTCGGGTGGCCGAGGCGGTGTGAGCCGGCATGCCCCATCTGTTATTAGTCTCAACAAGCCGCGTGCTGCCACAGGACGGCTCGCACTTGCCACAGACCTGACACGGGGGTTGTGACCGAGCCAGAAAGTGCTGGGTTCAAACCACCCAGGGGTTGTTTCAGGACAGAAGGGGTTTCCCTCCTTTGGTCCAGGCCAGTTCTGACTTTAAAAGAGAAGGTTTGCTGCGCCCGGTGTGAGACAGGACAGCTGGCTGGGGCGCTTCGCTCGCCACCCTCCCCGCCCGACGCGGTGCCCGCAGCCATGCCAAAGCACAACCCAGCTGTCGTCGCCTGACGGACGCCCGGCCAGCCGAGGGGAGAGCTCACCCCTTCCCTGGGGAGAGGGCCTGCCGGACACCGGTGCGGTGGCTGAGAGGTAAACCCGAGTAACGCCTTCTCCAAAGCAACTCACAGCACCGGGATTTACCCTGCCCCAAACCCCGGTGCGTTTTAATGCATCTTAATGCAGGGAAATACTGCCAGAAAATATCGACCTGGGAAAGTGTGGGTGGTTTCTCAATTAACTGTTCTTTTGCCAAAGAAAAAAATTGGCGAGGGGGGTGGGGGTGGTGATAGAGGCATGGCTGGCAGCAGGTGCCTTCGGACAAGCCTCCTGTATCTGTAGGAATGGATGAAGGGCGAGTGCTCTGCCTTCCTCGGAGCAGAGCTGGGAAGGGTTTACTGCCCGGAAAGAGATTTCTCTTTTTATTTTTCATTTTTCCCTCATTCCAAATCAAAACGAAAGTGAGCCTTTGGGGTTTTGTACTGACTGATTACAAAGGAATAGGAGAACCCTGGGCTTGGATGGTTTGAAGCAGTTTAATTAAGATATTTTGAATGTTTGAGTTTTATTCTTTTAATTCTAAGGATTTAATATTTTTTATGGAAGTTAACTGCAGGTTTAGAAATACAAACTGCTTTAAATTATAGTCTCTTCACACTTTTCAGTCTAAAGAAGTTAAGATGGGACATTTTAATGATATTTTAAAATTTTGAAAATCTTTTAAACTTTTTGAAAATCAGAGCTAGGGGATTATTTTACTTTCTTGCACAAGTAGCAGGGGTCTATTGCAGCTTTTCTGTCTTTTTCCTGTGAAAAATATAGTTTACTAAAAAAAGCCCAACCAACTTTAAAGATTATATCCTTACTCAACTATTGGAGCTGGCACATGATATGGTTTTTTTTAACAAGCTACTAGATATCAGATATTATATTTTCATCATCTTAAATCATTTAGTGAATGGGTACAGAAAGACAAGGAAAACTCATAGGACAATTGAGCAAATAGTCTTGTGGCCAGGGTGCTACTTTTAAGACTTTAATATCTTGCAAAGTGCTTCACATTTAAGATAAATCTTTCATATGTTATAAAGAAAATTATTAGAATCCACATTCAAAAAAGTTGCAAGATGAGATTCATGGAGAGAGAGGGTTAAGGACTATTGACTTCTCATCCCTGTCAACAAGTAGAAGTGAGGTCCTAAAGGGATTTTGGTTTTGCTGTTTCTAAAATGTAGATGTTACAAAACTTAATGCATGCAAGAAGTGTATCTACTCGCATGTTTTTCTCTTGGAGAGAATAATTACTGTGTTTGTGCATGCCAATCAGTTAATTTTGTGCAGTAACAACTAAAGGTGATTTGCATGTTCAGGTTACTCTAAGTAAATAATAAGCAGCATATAGACAAAAGGAACTCCTGTGAAATGCATATTTCATATATCTCATTTTGAAAACAGTCCTTTATGGGGAGAAAATGCTTTTTAAATCTCCAAATTTATTTTAATTTAAATAAAATAATCCCATCTACTCCCCATGCCCATATAACATGCTCCAGATATGTTTGCAACGTTGTGTTTTCACTACCAATGTAAGTGATAAAAACCAGGCAGGTTTCTTTCAGCCACCTAATTGCAAGGAGAAATTAATTACTTTTCTTCTCTGTGTTGTGGAAGACAAAGAGAAATAGAGTCCTTCATGAACTCAGCATCCAAAGCCCAAATAAAGGGCTTGAGTGCAGTGTTCTGAAGTGTCTTTGGTCAGAGGACAGGGCAGGGTATCTGCTCATCGTCTGTCCTAGGGGACCAGTGGCTCCCCTCTTTCCCTGTGTCACACACATACTTCAGCATCTATCATTGCTCAGGTGGGATGAAGCCTCATGTGAATTTGAGGAGGCTTTGAGGATGTGAAGAAATCCTTTAAAGGATGTGATGTGCAGCAGTGGGTTAGCTTCCAGCACCTTGACTCAGTGATCCCAATGTTTCTGCAGTGCTTGGCACTTCTGGCACCTCCCTGGGTGAGGAAGACTCTGCTGCTGCCACCAAGGGCCCACGGACACCCAGGTTGGAGGAGGGCAGGCAAAATGGCCTCGGTCTTCCGGAGTGAGGAGATGAGCCTGATGCAGCTTTTCCTGCAGGTGGAGGCTGCCTACTGCTGCGTGGCCGAACTCGGGGAGCTGGGTCTGGTCCAGTTCAGAGATGTGAGTAGTGCCTGTCTGGCACGTTGAGCTGCGGGAGATACACCCTGGGTACGCTTATCTTTCCCTCAAAGTGGGGAAGATGCACCTGCAGGGTGGTCAAAGACCATGGTGAGAACGGAACTTCCCCAAAGCAGATCTGAAAGCTAATCACTGTGTCGAGACCTGCCCCACCCCTGAGTCCCCATCCAGTACTCTGCACACCCTCTGCACAACTTTAGGACAATTCCTTCTACCACCAGAGAACAGGGGGTCTCTCCATGAGAGTCCATCTATGACTCCTGCTGCCACATCAAGGCTGGGTGGAAATGGGCCCAGTATAAGGCCATGATGTCCTTGGCTGTAAGGAAACCCACAGCAGTCTGTAAGATGCAAGGATGTTAGCCGTCCACCCCAAAGGCGTTCATTCTCTGCTGATGTTAAAAATTAGTGCAACAGTGTGCAGCCTCCAGCCCCAGGCTTGTTTTCCCTCATGTTTTTAGCTGAATGTGAATGTCAACAGCTTCCAGAGAAAGTTTGTGAATGAAGTGAGAAGGTGCGAATCCTTGGAGAGGATCCTGCGTAAGTAAACGCTTGTCAAATGCAATCGGCTTTCTGCCAACTGGTGGCATGGGATTTATTTCTTTGTTAAGTGCTCTCACACTGTGGAGCAGAATTAGCAGCAAAATGGTGATGTTTTCATCTGAGCCCCTGGAAATGTTTTGCATGTGTCAGCTAATTACCACTTCACCCCATATGGGCAATAAATTGTTGCCCCTGTTTTGAAAATGGTTAATTGAACTGAAAGGAGGTTAATTAGCTTATGTAAAATCACAAGATAAATCGGGGGCTGGGCAGGAGGCTAATCCAGATAACCTGACTCTTAAACCTGTGCACCAACCATTGGCACATGCTTCCTGTGGCCAAGGGCTTCAGCCTGTGGACAAATCCTTAAAACCTGAGCAGCAGAGTTGGTGGCACCTGGTGTCCCATGGACGTGTGTCCTGTGAGCTCTGCACTCACCCTCCTACAACACCGTGCCAACCATAGCCACTGTGGCAGCACTTGCCATTGCTGGAGCGGAGGAGTGAAACCTGAGCTTGCAGGGGTTTTTTAGCAGTAGCTGGTGACCAGGGTGATGCAGCAGAGATGACTCTGTATCAAAACTTCTGTGTCTTTTCCTTGCAGGTTTTCTGGAAAATGAGATGGAAGACTATGTTGAGACAGTCAAACTGGAAAAGTACCCAGAGACCCCCCTGCCTCGGGAAATGATTGATATGGAGGTACAGAATTTGGAGCAGGCCAAGGAGAGAGAGAAGGGGATGTGCACCGGGCTGTCTGTGTAACGTGCTTGATACAGCCCTCCCCTGCAAGGAAAGACCCAGAAGCTGAGGCTGGCACAGCTCTCGCTGCCTGTGGAGGCGCCCCCCACATTGCTCTCTCATCAGTTACCTTACAGCTGGTCTTACTGCAGGTTCCCAAAGGAGCCCAGTCTTTTTACTTAGCATCCCTTGTGAAACATCCCTCTGGTTCCACATATAAATGGAAAGGGATCACTATCACAGAATGCCCCCATCATCCTGTAGGAGAGAATAAGAAGGGTTTTGGTGATTATCCAGGAGAGCTGATGTTAGAACTTGCTCCACTGCATAAAAACTCCAGGACTGTCTGTTCTGTTGGGAGTATGGTTGCGGTATAGTAATATTGTGACCCGACAAAAATATTTGTGCCTTGCTTTTGGATGTGCAAGGGATGCTTTATTCTAGCCCAGCTAGATGCTAAGTCTACCAATGGGGTAGTTTTTAAATGCTGCACAAATAGGTGGCTAGGAAGAAAAATCTTGCTTTCTGAGGGCTGCAGCTTCATGGTCAAGGTTATTGCCTGGTGTGTTCCTGGACCCACATCCTCACCTAATTTTTGGCCTATGGCTGATGAACCTAAGCTAATGGCCATGTTGTAGGCTGCTTTTGTAGTCATTAGACTGACAGCCAGTCCACCTGGGATCTGAGATATTCTGTGGGGAACCGCAGTGGTGCCAAGGCAGACTGAGACACCTACACCACACACCCACTTACCTGCCTGTGCTTCAGTCAGAACTCTAATGCCAGAAGAGGACAAAGCACCCAGTAGGGATTGTGGCAATGGGAAAATGAGGCATTGACATTGCTGAACATTTTTGTACAAACTCAGTGTTTACTGAAGTGCTCATTGAATATTTCTGTATTCCCCCTTTAAAAAAACAACCATCTGTTGTTTAAGATTTGGTATCAGCTTGGCAAAGGGCCATTGGTCTGCTTCAGAGTTTTTCTGGATGTGCTTGGACCCTAAACAGACAGTGCTGGAGAAGCTTGAAGCTGAGCTGCTTGAAGCCAACCAGAACCAGCAAACGTTGAAGCAGAACTTCCTCGAGCTGACAGAGCTTAAACATCTGCTGAAGAAAACCCAGGACTTCTTTGAGGTGAGAGGCCTCTTTGCTCTTCCATCAGATATGTAGAAGGTTCCTAAAAATACTGACATTGTCATTTGGTTTGTGTTGCTGTTACTGACTCTTAAAATCCAGAGATCTTTACCAAAAGCCAGTAAGATGTTTGCAAAAGCATCTCAGTCGCTTTGGAGCCTGCATCGTTCCACGAGCCAGTGGGGCTCAAGAACTTGGTTCCCAAATCTCTTTGAAAATGTCATTTATGGTTTTCAGTTGCTAAGATACAGTTTATATTTTTTTTTTTTAATTATTTTTTTCCTTTAGTCTGAATCTCTGTGGAAAGCTACCTTTGGAGGAAAAAATGTCAGGAGAAAAATGTGAAAACAGTTTTCAAACTGGCAATGCTGAATAGTTTTTTAAAACTAATGTTTTCCAGGCAGAAACCAATCTGCCGGATGATTTCTTCAGTGAAGACACATCTGGACTGCTGGAGCTGAGAAGCACTCCTGCTGCTGCAGCTGCCAAGCTGGGGTGTGTATTGGTGAGGGTACCCAGCCTGGCCAGGCTTCCCACCTGCCCTGCATTGCTGTGACACTGGGACACTTCCTTTAGCTACTTAGCAGACGTTGCTCGCCAGCCTCTTTGGCGTAGCTTTTTAATGAAGATGAAAGAATGACTGGCCTCTGAAGTTATCATCAAAGCTATGGTCAGGTTATGGGTCAGTGGGACAAATGGACTTTTACTTTGAGGCCACTAATTCCCGTGACCCCTTAGTAGGTATTGACGGAAAATTGTTATCTTACGGCATCTCACCTATGGCTTCTGGACTCAGGCATCTGGCTATCAGCCTGGTCCTCAGGGATGGATGTCTAACCACAGCAAAAAGCCATGGGATTGCTTGCATTGGTCTTTTTCTGCAATAGAAAGTGGCACAGAGGGTGAGGGGTAGGGGAGCAGAAATGCCACCGTGCATATTGCTGATGGTGATTTGGTGGACAGCATAGACTCAGCTTTCCCTTGTGTCTACATCAGCTAGGAGTGGAGAAAGTTGCTGATGGTGTTCTTCCAGGCTAGTGTTTTTAGCTGCTTATGCTGGTATTTCTGAAGTCTTGTTCAACTCTTTTCTGAGCAAAATGTATGCCTGCAGAGGGCTTGCCTTAGTGGGTGTGTATAAGCATGCTATGCTGCATTTCAGAGGTGCAGTCTGGTGCTTTCTGGGACATAGAAAACAGGAGGGAATAAAGATAAACCACCACAAAACTGCTATCTCTTACCTCTGTCATTCAGGCACAATCTGTTTGCGTGACTTTAAGCATGTCTCCGTTCCTCCATTTCTAGCCAGAATTGTCTCTTCTCCTTGTTCTGTTGATCTGGGGAGGACTTACACTGTTTTAAAGAACAACAGGATGAAATCAGTAGATTGAGATAAGAGACAGGCTTGAGCAAGGGGGTCTTTCCTCAAAGTGCCTACAGCAGCAGCAGAGCCCTTGGCTATCACAGCCTAGAAATCAAGAGATTGTAAAATCATGTGTGTTACAGGTCCTAAGAGACTTAGAATGGGATTGTAATTTATTTATCTTTTCGCTCTGCTCAGCTTCACAGCAGGGGTAATAAAGAGGGAAAGGATGATAGCCTTTGAGCGTTTACTGTGGCGAGCCTGCAGGGGAAACATCTACCTGAGGTACACCGAAATGGACACCCCACTGGAGGACCCTGTGACAGTATGTACCGACCTGGTTTGCTTCATGCTGCTCCCTGTGCATCTCTGTGACCTGCAGAAACCAAACTTGTGCCCTGACCGTGCTGCAGCACTGGCTGCCTTGCAGAGCTGGGTGTCTGAAGGCAGCCTGGAGATAAAAGGCAGGAAAGTTTGAGGATGGAAGAAGTTTTTTTGACATTGCTTTCCCTTTTGCCATTATCGAGGTGGCTGCTTTTTCCTGCCTGGTTAAGATGCTTGTGAGCCCCAGCAGGGTGGCTGTGCTGCGGGGACCAGCGGGGGGAGGTGGGCTGCAGCTGTCCTCACCTGGAGCTGGTCACAGAGGGTCGATTCCCTTTGGTGTCTCTGGGGTGAGCCCTGTGCCCCGGCAAACCTCCAGGCCTCTACGTCTCCACTCCCCATTGCTCCTTTCCCCATAACCCAGAGCTGCTGCTCGTGCCTGATCCCTGAAGCAGCACCTAGGGAAAACATTGCTGCTGGAAAACTGGGGCTGGAGGAAGAGAACAACCCAGCAGAGAGGCTGCCCAAAATAACCCAATCACCTTTTCCACATCAGACTCTTTGCTCTGGGTGCATTAAATTCTACTTGAATTGTGTTGCAGAGAGAAGAGGTGAAGAAGAACGTGTTCATTATCTTCTATCAAGGAGAACAACTTAAACAAAAAATCAAGAAGATTTGTGACGGGTAAGGCAGGCCTGTGAGCAAGCCACAGTGACTCCCACAGAAGTGTTTACCTGTCAGCCCAGGCTGGCTGAATTTGGAGCTGGAGATGAGATCTCCAGCTTTTCGGCTGTCAGCTCTGCCACTGAGCGCCCTTCTGCTCCTCAGCTGTGCTGCTCCTAATCACGAAAATTATCCGTCACCTTGGCACTTGGAAATTGAGGTCCTAAATTTTCCAAAGTGACTTAAAGATCTTGGGAGCTTCAGCTGCTAGTTTTTTAACTTGGAATATCTTAAAGGAGACTGTTTTTTAAGAAATATTCAGCACTCTTCCGAAAATCAAGAGCCCTAGCTTGGGTACTGGGAACATGGTAATGCCTGACCTGTTCTCAATCCTTCCTGCATTTCATCATAAAAAGATGATGCTGTAGTTTATTCAACCCTTTCCCAAGGCCTTTTGAGCAGTATCTGTGTAATCAGAGATAGAGCCCAGGAGAGAAACGAAAGCTTCATACAACCTGACTTGTTTCCACCCTATTGAGCATCTTGAAAAGATAATTCAGGTTGAATATTTTGTTACTCTTTCATAACGCTGATGACCGATGGGCTTTGTTGCAGCATAAATCAGATTTGATGAGGGGATCTGTCTGCAGTCACCGAATCCATTTCAGGTATAGTCCTTCGGCCAAGCGGGGCCAGCCAAGCGCCTGCAGGTTGCGGAATGTCTCAGGGAGGGGGTGAGCAATTGCTCCTGCCCGACGCGCACTCAGGGCAGGTCTTTCCTTACATCCTGCCTTTAGTCACAATAAAAGCAGGAAGATCAGTTCACCTGGCTGGGGGAACTGGCTTCAGTCCCATGAAGCAACAAACCCCTGGGGACTATTAGGAATTCCTGGATTAGAAATGGGGCCTTCTGTAGGCAGTGGAGGGCAATGCTCATCCTGAGAGCAACTCGGCGCTCCTGAGCTGGGCATCCCGCTCTATAAAGCAGTCATGGGAGCATGGGCAGCTGGGGGAAGACTCCCAGTTCTCAGTCACTGATTTCTGATCCTGAACCTCAGACATGGAGGGTGTTTTGCCATCGTCACTGTGCAGGATCAGTCTGCTGCTGCCAGTGGTCTTTCAGTGGGTCTCAGTCTTTTTCTGGACTATAATTTCCTGTCTCTGTTCCATTTCTTTGCCTGCTTTTCAGATGCTCCCTTCTGTGCTCATGGGCAGTTGCTGGTGGTGAATGCTTCCCATTGCATTTGCCCCTGTGCTGATGGCCTTGCAAGTTCCCAGGCCACATGTTTAGAGCTGGCTGGGGTTGCCCTCAGAGTGCTGCAAGTGCTTCACTTCGGAGGATTTTTTGTTTTCCCGTATCATTTTACATTTCCTGCAATCAAAAACCCAATACTTTTTTTTTTCTGGGGTGGGAGTAAATGATCAGGCAATACAATGCCTGTCAGCATTTGCCTTATCGGTTGAACCCAGAATCACCCAAACCGGAGGCACAGCCTTCCACAGCGGGGTGCAGCTGGGAGCGTGGGGCCAGGCAGTGCTGGAAGTGTGAGCAGATCTCTGCAGCATGGGGCCATGACGTGCAAAGTAGTTATGAGCTGGTGACACGGATGTAGTGATAGGTTCATAGAAAGGAATTTAGATCGTTTTTTCTCAGCCTCTTATAACCAAAGAAAAACATTCCTAAGACAAATTCACAAATAGTGCACTGGTTTTTGTTTATTGCCAGGTAATCAGGCTACACTTGAAATCATCCTTTATGTTTTTGCTTCCTCCCTTTCAAATTTTTTGCTTGTTAATATGCAGTGTCAGTTTTTTAAATGTATCATTCCCATGACTCTTTAGTGTTCTGTGGGCCAGCAGCCATCCCTGGTACACAGGCCAAGACATTTTGGTCTGGCCCATCTTTAAGGCAGAGTTAACTATACCTAAAGCAGATGGCAGTGTCATTCCAGTCCCAGTAGGACATTCCTGCTTAGCACTAAGTCATCATTCATGACAAGTAAATATCCTGCAAAAATCATGGGACTGGTGTAAGCCAGTCTCCTGCAAGGCAGGCTAAGATTTGTTTGCAGAGCAATGTGCCTCGGGTTACGCTTGTAGTCCCTGCTTGACTCTAATTGGTAACATTAGTCTGCCAATTTCATGAGCATTAAGTCCATGCACAAATTTATTAGTGAAAGGTGTAGAGGGAGCAGGGAGGAGGAAAATGTAAGAATTTTTTTTTTTTCCTCCTTTTCTTGCGGTTGCCTCATTGCTAATGTGAATACTAAACGGGGTTTATCAATGTAAGGATTCCCTGCTGAATTCTCCTGGAGCTTTCAGAGATGTCTGTGCCATTAGGGCAAAGCTGATACTCAGTATGCAAAATGGCTGTTAAAGGATCAAAGCAACACTGCTGCAATAACGTTATTGGAAATGGGGGAACTGTACAGCACGGAGGAATAAGCTTTCAAGTTTGATTAAAAATCCTTATTAAAGATGAACTAAGAGCTGTGAAGAATAAGAAGATGGAAATAATTAGGAAGGGTGAATAACCTCTGGGAGCGAATACCAGGTGTTGAGTGAGGAGAGATTCGATTCTGGGAAGGGAAGTTTAACTGAAGAGTGCATGCTGTCACTACACACAGCTCTGGGCTGATCTCTTGGAGACTGCAGTGTGTTTTGTTCCATTTGCAACTGTCCTCACTTGTGTGTATGCTGGAACTGATTCTGGAGAGCAGGTGGTGATATATTCTGTGCTCAAACAAAGCCAGAACATGATGCTTATCTGTACACAGAGCATGCACAGTTTTGTCTCTTAAAAAGGGATAAACCCCCATGACCCTGTTACATCTTCTTTTAATTCATCTCACGTGCAGAAAGGCAGCCCTTCAGCAACCCTAACTCAGTGCAGCTCCACTGCAGGATGGTGGGAGTGTGTTGCCTTAGGTGGGCAGATCTCCGCTCTGTAAAGAGGAGTGGTCTCTTCCTGCAGACCTGTTGGGGCAATATTGACGGATGACATTCATAACACCCTTGATGTGGCAGGGCTGGCACAAGCACTAGATACAGCTGAACAAACCGAGTAGGAAAAAACGGATCTCTCTTATTTTAGTTACTGCAGCATCTCAGCTCAGTTAAAGCTTGTAGGCGCAGAGCCTTGCAGCAGCACACCTTGTGATCCACAAGGTCCCAGTGGGATCTCCTTATGCCTGCTCTTTGTGCATGAAGTGTACTCTGGGATGCGTTTTGCAGGCAGGACAGGTAGCTGTACACTTTTCAGAGAGACATGCAACTTACTTCTAATTGGTTGTACAGGGTTTGTATCGTGGCTTTAAGACACTGCCGTGTGCTGTACTAGAGTAAGCACCTGTACACTAGTATGACTTGCAGCTGTACTAGAGAAGGTCATGTTGCATACTTTGGATGAAGCAGTACACAGCAATTGCATGGAGATAAGACCTTCACTCGCACAGTAGAAGCCCACATTAGTCTTTATTGTACCACACTAAACAAACCAGCTGAATTTCCCAAATATGCCCTTTGGGGTAAGTTTATAAAAGCATTTATATTGGCCTGGTCGCATCTAAGCTGACATAACAGATACCACTCTCAGGTGTTTAAAAAACTTCACCTATCCTTCCCTTGCTCCCAAGCTGTCTAGCCAGATGGACCAGGAGCCAGGAGCTAGCTATATGGTCAGCTTCCTTTTGTTTTACCCTGGAAATACAGGTGTTTGGGTTTTTTACAGGGTGATGTACTTGCATAGCCTGCACGCAGGACGGGTGTTTGCTCGCTGTGCAACAGTCGTCTCCCAGAGACTGCGAGAGGGTTGTGCAGAGACAAGGATGCAGGATTTTTCCAGCCTCAGTGCAAGAGGGACATCTGTTGGCTACTGCTATCGGGGCTGCCTTTGCCGGGGGATGGGAGGGGGTGGTTTGTGGCTCTCTGTGGTTCAAGCAGCTTTTGGGCATGAGGGAGGTGCCTACATATTAGTGCTGACCACGTATAATACGTACCTCGTAGCACCTGAGACAGGGAGCGTTTTTTTTCAGCCAGAACAGGCGAAGTGATCCTTTTTCTCATGAACAAATAAATGTACCTTTTTGGAGCTTTCTGGGAGACCAGGCACAACTTTGTAGTCTATAAGAAGAGTATACTACCGGGTGAGGAATAAAGTCTGGTTTCTGCACTTTTGAACTGAGAAATAGCCCAGAGGAAGAAAAAGTCAGTCAAATAAACTGTGTTTCTCACTTCTCTCTTACTGAGGCTAGATTTCGTGCCACGGTCTATCCCTGTCCAGAGTCTGCCACCGAGCGCCGAGAAATGCTTGATGGAGTCAACACAAGGATTGAGGATTTAAACACGGTAGGTGACAATGGCTTTACTGGGGTCTGAACCCTGCAAGTGGGGTCTGCCCAGACATTTATCCTGCCTGAAACCCTGTGGCCACGGCCAGATCACAGGCTTGTTTTGGGAGCTGGCCGTGCAGAGCTGTCAGGGGCTGGGGATGAAGCCACCAGCCCAGGAGCAGTCCCCCCGCTGGTTGCAGAGGCCAGTGCTTGTGCTTTGCTCTGCCCATTTTTAGCCCCCAGGAGCTACTGGAGGACAGCAACCATGTGAAAGGCTCAAAAACTACTTGCTGCTGTTGGCTATGCAGAAGTCAGAGGTTTAGACTTCCTGATATGGGGATACAGGGTGGGATCCAAGGTCATCATCAACCAAACTGCACGTTGTCCAAAATGGCTTCATCTAGCTCTTACAGTGTGGCTTCCATCAGCAGCTCACAAAGTTTTTCAGTCTCAACTCTAGTACAACTACACTAGGCTGAGAGAGGACTCTAAAGATTTCTTTTATATTTAAATTAGGTCGTCTTTACCAAGGAGATCTTGGGGCACTTGTCACACTAGCAATTGAAACCCAAGACTGCTGTTACAGCAGTACAAGTCTCCAATCTCTTTACTCAAACATTTAACAGAGCTGAAAATTACAAGTTCAGCTGCTATGGGTACTCAGTCGCTTGTATATCCAGGCACTCTATCAGCACTTCGCACCTTTTGGAAAGACTCCTACCTATGACCTTTGTATTACCACACATGACAGCCAGTGGGTCCTGAAGCAGGAGGGAACTGACACTCTTTGCCTGCGGTGGCCCACCTGACAGTTGACATCCTGCTGTCATTTCCTCTGTGGATGCTGGTGTCTGTCAAGCCTGCACTCGTGTCTGCTTCCAAGCTGACTTTCACTCCTGAGCATCATGGACAGCCAAGCTTCTTCAGTGCTTGTTGACCATCCTAAGATTTATCTCCACTGCTCATTTATGCAGCAGCACTGTGGTGGTGACATGGTGCATGGAGGTGCCACCAGGACCGTGAGCTGTAGCTCAAGCAGTGCAGGCATGCTCGTGGATGTGATGTGCCCCAAGTTTGTGTAAGATGGCAGGGTGGGAGCACATGGTGAGATGTAAGCAGCTCGGTAAGGAGCCAGTCCCTTGATCCAGTAACTCTCAATGGTCTCCTCTACACTTACAGAGGCTCAGGGCCATGTGGGGAGAGTCCTTAGTGAAAAGCACTGTGCACCTGGTGTCAAGGGCTCCTGTGTTCAGACCTGCAGACACTGCCCGCTGGGATACCTCACACGTTCATATGAATCGCTCCCTTTCCGCAACTCTCTTCCACCTGCCTTCCCCAAATAACTGTTGAGTAGATCACGCCACCTATGCCTTCCTATGTTGAGCACTGCCCGTGCTGTGCTTACAGGTGATAACCCAAACCGAGTCCCACCGCCAGCGACTGCTGCATGAGGCAGCAGCCAACTTGTGGTCCTGGGGGATCAAGGTGAAGAAAATCAAGGCCATCTACTACATCCTGAATTGCTGTAACATTGACGTCACCCAGCAGTGTGTCATTGCAGAGATCTGGTTCCCAGTGGCTGATGCTGGCAGGATAAAAAGAGCTCTCCATCAGGGAATGGTAAGAGACCAACATTTTGGGTTCCTGAAACTCTTGCCCAAACTGCACTGTTTTTAAGTTGAGCATATGTTCAGACTGCTGTCTGCTACTGTAACACTGGGTTCCCTTTTCTGTGTTAATTAAAGTCGATTGCATGATTTTTTGGCCTTGGGGAGTTTAAGGTCAGTATTAAATCTTTGCATGTTTGAGATCCACCCACAAGTCAGCAGTCCTGGCAGCTTTCCCTGAACAAATCAATGGCACAGAAAATGGAAAAACCTGGATATTAGAAAAAAGGTTGAGATATAACAATCTTGAGCCCAACTTTCATGTTGTTGCCTGTGCATGTCTGGACACAGATCATGGTGCCATGGGACGAGTTTTTCTCTGCTAGGCACCCTGACTGTATCTGTCCTTGTCATGGGCTTGCAGGAGCGCAGCGGCTCTACTATCACCCCTATCCTTACTGCCGTACACACCAGGATGGCACCACCCACCTTCAACAGAACCAACAAGTTCACAGCTGGATTTCAGAACATCGTGGATGCATATGGTGTGGGCAACTACAGGGAGATGAACCCAGGTGAGAAATGCTCAGCTGCCTGCATCTGGCTTGCTAGAGCCATAATAAAGCCTTTGAGCTCCATCACTATCCCAAAACATGCATTCATTACTAGTTGAGAAATCTGAACCATCTTTTCTGCTGGTAAAAATTGATTCTGTTTGGGGCATAGGCATGGATTTTCTCAGGCAAAGAATTTGGCCATTGGTCTTCAGTGACTGATTATGGCAGGAATAATGAACTACACAGATGGGGAACAAATAGTGAGGTAACAGATCTGAGGAAAAGACCTAAGCTCACAAAGCAAATATAAGTTGTCTCATTGTGCTGAGACAAAACAAGGCCAAAAGGACTTGAAAAAAGTGTGCAACAATGGTAGGGAATCTCAAAGAGACCACAGAAAATGAACAAAAACCTAGAAATGGGGGCCCATGAGAAAGGATTGCATGAACTCAGATTGACAAAAGTGAGAAAACTGAGAAACATGATAGTAAACTTCAAATACATTATTCTGTTGCAAAACAGTATGCAGTTGTCTATGCATGGTGTTTATTATGGTGAGACAAGAAATGAAGGCTAAAATTTCAAGGAAGATGCAGATCATATAACTGGACAATCCTTCTGATGATAAATATAGTTCTACACGAGATCTGACTGCCTGGTGAGTAGGGGAGGGATTGTGGAGGCCTCTGAGGGCAGCAGCTGTGAGGAATGAGCTGGTGGGGTGCATTGCTTCTCTGCTGAGGCCTTTCTGTTTAGGGTGAGCTGATCTTGTCCTTTCCTTCCTGCAGCTCCATACACTATCATTACCTTCCCCTTCTTGTTTGCGGTGATGTTTGGGGATTGTGGCCATGGCGCTGTCATGCTGGGCTTTGCACTCTGGATGGTCGTTAATGAGAAGAGCCTTCTGGCCCAGAAGAGCACTAATGAGGTGAGTACCAGGGAGGAGGTGCACCCTATCAGCATAGGAAAAGGCTCATCATCCCCATTAGATAAAGAGGGCATCCAGCCTCCCAAAGGCTCAGTGGAGATCCTTCAAAGATGTTTGTGAGGCAAAGATTTGGCAAGTAATTCTGTCTACTTCTACAGAGACCTGGACAGACCCAAGGGACCAGAATTTCCTATAAATAATTATATATACATAGATAAGTACAATCATGTCTCCTGCTGGCTGTGGCCTACTGTTTGATGGGATTTCAGATACTTTGGTCACTGGCACTGCTTCTTTCCCTGCAGATCTGGAACACCTTTTTCAGCGGGCGCTACTTGATCCTGCTCATGGGCATATTCTCCATGTACACTGGCTTCATCTACAATGACTGCTTCTCCAAATCGTTCAACATCTTTGGCTCTTCCTGGCATATCATCCCCATGTTTAAAAATAGCACTTGGAAGTAAGTGGTGAAATGTGGGAAACAAGTGAAAACACACCAAACAGAGCACATAGGCTTTGAAAGAAAAGCCCATTGACTGCCTGTTTGGGGAAGGGAAGAACTCCCTGCTGTGGATGCAGTCATGAATGAATCAGAGGTTTTGTCTGACACACAGACAAGCTCACTATTGAAATGGAAATGTAGAGTCTCCGGGAACACGCCTGTTTGTTCAGGCGCTGATGTGCATAAAAATCTGCAGGTGTCCAGGACTGATGCATAGAGAATTATCAGTCTGATAGAGACTGTGTAGGACCCCTTTACACACACACACACACACAAGTGAGCACACAAGCCCAGGATAACAGTTCACAGAAAGGCTGGAGTTGGTGACAGGTGTCACATGGTAGTCCTCAGCACATCTCACATAAATCTACCATAGCTAATGTGGTGAGATTCAGCTGCAAAGGCCATTTCACTTTTTTTTTTTATAGTAAGGATGTGCTTCTGGACAACACAGTGCTGCAGTTGGATCCAGCAGTCCCAGGAGTCTACTCTGGAAATCCATATCCATTTGGAATAGATCCGGTAATTAAATTAAATTGCTCTAAGATAATTTGTATTTCAATGCTGTTTCTACGTATCAGGTACATAAGTAGCTCCCTACTCTTCTCCTGAAGCCATGCTCTTCACTTCTTGCTCTTAGCCTGTTCTTTATGTAGTCATCGTGATGCTTTTCTTTAGCAATCAAGGATATATATTCCTGACAGTTTTGCACAGGCAGCAGCAAAATGGTAAGGAAGGAACTCTGATTTCACTGGAGAGTGGTCCTGTGCTGCAGTCTCTGCTCTGTCCTCAGGCTGCTGGACTCACCTTCCTTGCTTGAGTACTTAACCCATTCTAGAGCGATGTCACAAGTTTGAGGGCAAAGTCCTAATTTCTATGCAGTGTATTTATTGCATGAAGTGTGAAGTAAATGGATTCACGTTTTCTTCTGTGTCCTATTTCCCTTTTCTTACCGTTCTCTTTGTCACGTACTGAAATGCAGTTGTTGCCATCAAGCTTTCCTGTTTCAATCTTCATATCAGCCATTTAACCTCTGTTCTGCTGGATGCGCTCTCATTTCAGTTGATCACACAGAGAAACACTGTCTTTCCCTGGTTTGCAGAGACATTGACCTTGTAGCACGTTTGTCACAAACCCAGCTCTAAAGATCTGTCCGGGATGTAGGCAGTCCAGCTCAGGAAGCCACGACAGAAGAACCTGAATTTTCTGTGCATTGCCCTGACACATCCCTAACTTAGGTTAACCTAGCCTAGCCCCTCTTCCATCCTGCTGCTGCCTGCTTGAGGGGCCGGGACCCCTGTCTGGGAGCAAGGAACAGCTGAACAAGTGCTGTCAGGGAAGGGGTGGACTGGAAAGCACCAGCCCCTGTGGAAATTATCAGTGTTGTCAGCCCAGAAGGATGGATGGTTCTTCATATTTTGCATTTGGCTGATGTATATCTTGGATAAGGAAGAGTCACCCTGAGCTGAGGAAGATAGGCAGTCTCTTCCATAGCCATAGAAGAGGCAAAGCATGTCAGACAAAGGCACAAAAGCTAATGTTTTGCCTTGCAAATAATCCTGTCTTCCCTCCTTTCTGTGCAGGTACTATACATAATATCTGAAAGAGGTATCTACTTACCATCTTTGGGGTCAGACGACTTTGGGGTTTAGGAAGTTTTGGAAGACAGGAGAAGGAATCCCAGAGCTCTGTGGCATAGAAAAGGCAGGACTGAGAAGAGGCATATGGTCACCATCCTAACACAACTGAAAAGTTACTGCAGAGAGGCAGGAGATAAACTGATCTCCATGGCCAAAGAGCCAGAATGAGTTGGTTTTCCTTCAAACAAAAAGTTTGAACATGCTCTGCCCTCATTACTTCTCTGGTGAAGTTAGAACAAATTTCCATAGCAGCGGAAGAGATTTTCTCATGTCTTTCCACCTCTGCCTAGGGGCAAAGAATGACACTGGAAAGATCTAGTTCCACTACCAGCCTTTGCATCGGTTTCTGGGGGACTGAAGCAAAGTCACTGCATCATTTTAAATCCCTGTTATTTCCCCTGTTAAGTGAGGATAATATTTTATACCTTTTAGATGAGAAGCTTGGCAGAGTGAAAAGTATTATAAGGAACACCTAGATTTCTGTTGCTTGTTATCTTCTTACTAGAACTGGTAGGAGTAAATTGTTGGTGTCAGAGCAACAAACTTCCACAAATCTGTTACTGATCAAACACCTGAAAATCTTAGTCTCGGTCTCTCTCTGCTCCTTTCCCCAAAGATCTGGAATGTTGCATCGAACAAACTGACTTTCCTGAACTCCTACAAAATGAAGATGTCGGTTGTCATAGGGATTGTGCACATGATTTTTGGGGTGGTACTCAGTCTCTTCAACCACATGTAAGTTCGTTTCACCAAGCCCGTTCCTGCAGCACACAAGTCCTCACTGCTAAACTAGTGTTCTTCATTCAGAGAAAGCCTCACATCTCAGACTGATGGCTTGAATTTTTTCCTTTCCCCAGGGTGAGTAGAAATGTCCTGTGCACTGACTAATTCTAACCACTGTAGGTACAGAGTGATGAGTCCAAAGGCTGGAATGATGGCCATCACATTGCAGATATTCCCTTGGATAAACTCTTTTTCACTTTCTTTCTTATATTCTTGATTCTGCAGAAATAATGAAGTACGTTAAATTAAATATATATAGCACCTCCCACTATTGATAACTTTTGTCTTTTATTTAAATCCAAAGCACAATGAAATCTTGCACAATGTCTGTGCATGCATTTCACCTGAGTTAGTGAGTCTTTGGTCAGGATCTGTGGGTGTGCGTGTCTATAGCTCTGCCTCTGTATTTTGGAACAAAAAATAAGAAATAGTGTCAGAGTGAAGAGCCTGGCTCTACTCTCTTGAAAGACTCTCCAAAGTGTGTAGTGACCTTCAAGGATGGAAAGTCTTTGCAGAGAACAGAGAGGACTGCCCCTGTAGAACTGATTCTACACCCGGTTCTGACCTTCCTCAGCGCTTAACTTTGTAAATTAGCCATTTTTTGAAAATCATCTTTTATTTCACTGTAGTAATCTTTTGAGGTGCTGAGATTCTGGTGGGTCAAGCACAAAATCCTGAAGAGAATCAGTATGATGACAAAGCTTTGTGTTTAAATAATGGTTTTCATTGATAAAGACTCCAATTACAGACTTCTTTCTTGGCTCCTGGTAGTTGTATGTTTCTTAGATCATTTTCCAAAGACTGAGTAGTGTACAGTACTGCCATACTTGGGTGCAATTTTGTATTAATACCTAGTGTATTAATTGTAGTTATCTTTCCTGATTCTTTCCAGCTACTTCAAGAAATACATAAACATTATCCTTCAGTTCATTCCAGAGATGATTTTTATTGTCTCTCTTTTTGGCTACCTGGTCTTCATGATTATTTTCAAATGGTGTCATTTTGATGTCCACTCATCCCAGAGTGCACCAAGCATCCTCATCCACTTCATCAATATGTTTCTGTTCAATTACGGTGACACTTCAAATGCTCCATTATATCTGCATCAGGTACGGATCAAGCAGCTCGAATCCACTGTAGCTGGTTTTGGATTCACAGTGGGTATTGTGGAGAGTGGGCATAAAAATGGGGAACCAGCTCAGAAGCACAGTCACAAGAGCCAATCACATAAGAGAAGTTTGTTCTGGTATTCGTGGTGGCCTTGTAGACAGGTAGGACAGAGAAGCTATCAGTCAGTGATGCAGAAGAAACCTCATTCTTAGTGTCATCCTTACAAGAATGATGATGCAGATAATTTCAGATTTTTTCAGATAATTTCAGATACTTTCGGGGAAAAAAGAAAGAAGGGTGATTAGAGATGCAAAGCTGGGTATTGCAGATGTGCTGTTCTGAAGTCTGGGCACAATGCTAGAGACAAAGCAAGCCTCTCCTTTCCTTGATAATTTCTTATTTCTTCTTTGGAAAACATGAAAACTTTATATTTTCAACTAAAAAATAGAAGTAGCTAGTAGATTTTCTGCCAGCTTTTTGTCAGAAATATCTCCTATGGGGAGTTCAATTAAAATACCAAAAGAAAAAAAACCTCCGATACAAGAAAACTTCTTTTAAAGTAATATCTATTTATTTGCTCAGAACATGGATTAGTTTTTTTCTTGCTAGATTTTACATCAGCAGCATCAGTGAAGAATCTGTAAGCAAATGCTGCCTCCAGTCCCATGTATGCATCTAAATCTGTGCAGTTGCACACTCGGGCACTTCAGTGTGAGCTCAGTTTTAGTGCTGCTGGTGAGTCACAGTAGAGCCCTGATCAGTTCCAAGTAACTGCATGGAGGCTGCAAGGGAGTTTGGGAACAGACAGTTTTCCCAGCCCTCAAAAAAACTTTAGATAACATTTTGCTTTGTAACAACCCAAAAATTTCCAAGATGGTATTTTTTTTTCTAATATTCCTATCCCCCTACCCCATCAGTAACTGTCTGTGTCATCCACCTAGGTAGTCTGAATGCAAAGATTATATGAGACCAACCACAAGGTCATCAGAGATCTAAGCCAGCTTTTAAAAAAAAAAGCAAAAATTTGTAGTTTGGGGTTTTCTTTGTTTGTTTTTCTTGTGTTTTTGTGGGGGTTTTGGGGTTTTTTTGGTTGGTTTTTGTTTGTTTTGGTTTTTTTTTTTTAAGTACAAGCAGTTACATTAGGACAGCAATGAGTGACATACTGCAACAAGAACACCCTGTACCATGTTATCGAACCTAAGGTATGGGGATTCAATCCCCTTCCAGAACTGCATATGTAGAGCAAACCCTGGATTCCCTGCTTTCTAGGGAAGACTTTAATGACTTGGCTCTTACTGCAACATTTTTAAATTGATTGAAGTAAAGCAGACTGACTGGCTACCCAGCAGTTAGGACATTCACTTGGGACACTGGAGAGGCAGGTTCAAGTCAGTAACATTGGGGTTTGGCAAATTAACCCTTTCCAACATGAAAGTGTTTCATCTCTGAGTCTCCAACTATCTCTAGCTGGCAGTGCTTTCTGGAGCCTTAAGCAGTACACATTTATTTTCATGTCCTTACAAGCAGAGGAGAATCAACCAATACAGGGAGCATATGAGTATAACTATTGTATTAAAAAAAAAAAAAAAAAAAAAAAAAAAAGAATCAGGTTTCTAACCATAAATGTAGTTGGCTAAAGGAAGTCAAGTAACTTTTTGCTATTCTTATTGTTTTGTCTTTTAGAAAGAAGTGCAGAGTTTCTTGGTCATATTTGCTCTGATTGCTGTTCCCTGGATGCTCCTGATTAAACCTTTCATCCTCCGAGCCAACCACCAGAAAGCACAGCGCATGGTAAGGGATGTGGATCAGGCAAGGGGGATTCAGCACAGCAAAGGCAAAACTGAGCAGACAGACCCCAAAACCTGTGTGCAGTGATCTAATTCTGCTATTCTCTGATCTCAGAGTTTCTCCAGTGATTTCAACTTCTGCTTTACAGCACACGTGCCAAGAGCATGTGTATATTTGTCTGAGCCATCAAAATGGGAAGCAGGATCTTTGCTTTCAAAGCCATACAGTACTTGTTGGGAGAGGAGTTCAGCTGACACCAAGCTCTTTCAAGTGTCATACCCAAAACCAGAGAGGGTTTAGAGAGACTGAAGTGCTGGTAAAGCCAAGACATGGCAAAGACCTCAGTTGACAGTCCACAGTCACCACTGACTACTGGTTGGCTGCTCTGTAGGAATAGGGCATCTGCAATACTCCTGGCCTTGGAGAAGAGAGGCTTGATTTAAAAGCTGTTGCCTGCTTTCTAGCTTAAGTGATTGCCTTCACATTAACAGAGCCATCCTTCCCGTGGGCTCTGTGGTTTGCCCAGCTCTTCAGCACGTAACTGCAGCAGCTGCAGTTTCCCAGTTGTTCATTAATTCTCACTTTTATTACACTAACAGGACTTTACTTGTCTGTCAGGATTTACTTCTCTTTATAGTCAGAGTTAGAGCCTGGAGTACCTTTTATAGGGCACAGATGTTTCTATTAGAAGAAAGAGATGCTGGTTGTGCTGTGTGACCTTTTCCAACCCAGTCACTTCTGACCTATAACTGAAAGCCAGGTCCCTGGGAGACCTTTGTGGCCCTGCCTCTGCACTATAATTTCTCATTTTGTCATTCTTCTGGGATTTAGATGAAAGCTTGACATAGCTGACTCCATCTCCTGCTCTTATGCTAGTAACATCTGACAGCTTTTCCCCACCTCCTATTTTGCCCCAGTATTTCTGTTCCTAATATTCATATGTTAGCTGTCTGAGCACATCTTACATTTACCCAGATTTATATGTTTGCAACAAAGTCTGTTCTCTATGCTGACATTCAGGTAAAGCAAAGATAAAGTGGGTGTGACAATGATTACTGCTGCAATAGGAAACAATACGTTATCATGAGACCTTGCCCATGAAACCTGCTGAAAGCTATAAAGAGTGACAGGACAAAACCTGACAGAAGCTGTGAGGTCCGTATTTGGTTATACTGTATAATAGGAGTGTTATAGGCCTGTAATGTAGGGCTATTCTTATGCTGTGCTGTCATTTCTGAAGAGAGGCTCAGATCAGGTTGTTCAGGCCTCTAGAAAAGCCTTGTAAAGAATGATTATGGAGAGAAGATGCGTTGCCATGAAGTTTTTGTCAATTTAAAATTAATCAAGAGATCTGAATTGTATTTGTATCCCAGGAACTGTGTGACCTTCATCAAGTCACCTGATCCTTTCAGGCTCCATTTGCCTTTCATTTGATGCTAATTCTTTTCATTTACACCCGTCTAATTGAGATCGTCAGCTTTAATGTGCCTCAGTTTTCTCATTTGCAAAAAGTGATGGATCTTCTCACGGTGGGCATAAAGGGTACATTGTGAGACTATAAACTAGCTCCAAATTAGTTGGAATCACTGGAAAATGCCCTAGGATGGAAAATATTTAAGTTTTATTAGCCATTCAGCAGGAGTACTCAATTTCTGTGATACATGATGACTCACTATTGTTGAAATTGTCCTCATGTTCATGATACAGTCCTTTATATGTTACCCATCATGAGGTTATTGATGGAGTTCTGTGCCATGGTCTGTTTCATTTTGGTATCAACCTGTAGTATGGCACAAAGGACATATTCCAATTTGTTTCTAAAAGATTCAGTCTCAAGCCATCTCAGGAGACCCTGAAGGTGAAAATGATGTCGATGTCCCAGAGACCAATCACTCAAAGAAAGCTTCCCAGGGAGACCACAGTGGTGGCCATGGAGGACATGAGGAAGATGATGAAGAGGTAAGAAAGTGTGGGCCAAAAATTATTCAGGCAGACACAATAGTAGAAGACACAAAGTGAAGCAGAAGGCTTTTTACATGGTTGCCAGCCCTTCTTTTTAACAAGATACCAAGACACACTGTTGCAACAGTTTGTTTCCAAGCAGAGTAAGGTTTGAATTTTCATAGTATGAATTCCTCTTCGGTATTTCCTGGTGAGGGAACACAATCTTACAAACCTCGAGCCTTTATTTCCCCAGAGTGTGTTGTTTCACTTTCACATTGCACCCAGAGAAGATCAAGACTTCCCCAAGATTCAGTGAGTTTTTCTTTCTTTAAATTGCAAAGGAACATTGAAAACTTGGCAGCCTACAGTGTTGGCTAGGGAGAAAAGTCTTCCTTTGGCAGATATTGTCAAGGGCTTCTGCAGTATGCAGCAACACAGTTAAAAAAGTGACAAACGTGTTTGTAGCAGTTGGGAGTACCCAACACCCAATTGAGTGTGAATATGGCTGACTGTTTCCAGTCACAGGGAATCTTCACGTCTTTGAAGATATGTTTATTCAGTGATATCTCCCAAAACACGTATGCCAATGGGCTTTATGTAAGAATATTTCTCTCTACAAGAAATCACAAAGATTGGTAGCAATTGGTTTGCCAGCTTATGCCAGATGTGAAATTGTAAAACTGGAATATGAACTGATTCCTGAGCATTTGCTTTTCACTGGAATTTTGTTTTTCCAGGGAGATTGTATGGGAAGATGATAGAGAACTGACAGTTTTCAAAGCAGTCTTTTTATCTGGGATCTATCTGTGTGTTGCTCAGAACATATCAAGGAAAAGGGAGGAGTGTGAAGAGCCTTCGGTGGAGTGTAGCTCTGTTAACCAGGAAGCCCTGAATTAAGAACTAATAAAACACGTTTGGTTTTATGTTGTTTCAGTTCAACTTTGGAGACACGTTTGTCCATCAAGCTATCCATACCATTGAATATTGCCTTGGCTGCATCTCCAACACAGCATCCTACTTGCGGCTCTGGGCACTGAGCTTAGCCCATGCACGTGAGTGACTGGCTACCTGTTAGTTACTTCACCAGCAACACCATGCTGATCGCTGCTTCTCCCGCGTTTGATTAGTGCTCCAAAGTTCTCCATTAAATCAGACTTCTCCTTGTGGATGTTTGTGTCTTGGAATGTTTTGCTTCAGGTCAGATCAATCCAAGCGTTCTGTGGTGGCCATCTCAGTTTTATGTCGTGATCCCTGGCAGCTCTATATGAGGCAGCTCCTGACTGCATTTTCTGGCTGGGGCCCCTTTCCCACACTGCCCTGTAAGCCCCCCTCCGGAACAGTCCTCATGGTGGGAGGTGCAGTCCAAATGGGTAGTCCAGTCCATGGAGGTAAAGGCAGTATGGGAACCATGGCTTCATTTCCCCAGAGACACTTGCTATAGCCTTAGGTCATGCCGGTGAATGTCAAAACGACTTGCAACAGTTATTTTGATTTGGTTCAGCAAACTAGAAAGAAAAGTTTTGGTTCAAGAACTCCTGGAATTTGTCATTTTCACTGGGATTTTTCCCAGCAACATTTAGTGGAACTTCACATTCCATGAGAAATGTACAGCATTTCAATGTCTTTTGTCTTGATTTAAGATAAAAACAAATGTTCAAATACTAGAAATTGCCTCAGGGTGAAACTTCAGATTTTCAGCAACTCTAATTTTTATGAAAAGTTTTTTATTAATATTGCTGTATTGCCTCTGGCTAGGAGTTGTGCCTGCCCTAAATAATTTGGCACACAAAGAAGGAAAACAAAACATGGGGTGTGCCATGGATTGACAGGGGTGAGCTGTACATCTTGGCACAGAAACGAGCTTAGTAGGAGATGAGTGGAAGCTAATACACATTAGATTTACATGGAGGACAGTTATCTAAATAAAAAAAAAAAAAAAGTCAACTGAAAAGTTTAGCTAAAGGCAGTCCTATGTGTTATGTCAGAATTCTGCCTGGAAAACCACCGTATTCATTTGCAGCCTTACAAACCGGCATTTGCAGGAGTATTTTTCCTGAAGGCAAATTGCTTTCGGGAAAATTTGCAAATTCCAAAGAGGAAAATTGCTCAGCCCTGAATCTATCCTGTGTGACTGGGGTATTCAAGAATATGTTATTGAGCTGACAGGACAAGTCAGATATACCAGTGTTGTGAATGTTGATATAAACCTGTGCAGGAAAACAAACAAACAAACAAACAAACCAAAACAAAACTTTAAGAGCATGCAGGCAACCAAAATGCTAATACAGCCTGCCTTGGGTGGAACCAACTGGTTGTCCTTTTTTTTTCCCAACACAGCTTCTCCATGACACCCTAAGAGAAGTACTTGGGAGAAAAAAAAATGGGAATTACATGTCTCCTGTGGGTCTTAGCTAGCATCAATCAGTACAGCTTGTAACCTAATCTACACATGTATTGACTATGTCAATCGATCATGTTCACTGGTATTTAACAGCAGGCAGTCCTAGAAGGCTCCACATACTGCCACCCTGCCATATTAAAGAGGTGCAAATTAAACTGACAGCTGTCTCATGCCAGGGTAACAGCAGTCTTGGTAGTGTGGTTGCATGGATTTATGATGCAAAGCCAAGCCAAAACAGCACCATCGGCTTCTAACACAGTGAGAGGAGCAATGGAAAATAATCTGCATCCACTTTCCTCCCCCAGTCATGAAGAGACAGGGTGGCCATATATGATTACTGTCATGCACGTTTTACTGTCATGCACATGATTACTGACATGTACACTGTATCCTAGGCCAACTCATCTAACTGGGAAAAATGGGTGAGCTGCCAGACTGTGCACTGTGCCTGTCCACAGCTGTTGCTCAGCACTGTTTTCCCTTTATTTCCTTTTGCAGAACTGTCAGAGGTCCTTTGGACCATGGTGATGCACAACGGGTTCAACAGCAGCAGCTGGGCAGGCCTCATTGTCATCTTCATCATCTTTGCGGCATTTGCAGTGCTGACAGTAGCCATCCTGCTTGTCATGGAGGGGCTCTCAGCCTTTCTTCACGCCTTGCGTCTGCACTGGTAGGTGCTGTGGTCTTTTGGAGCTTTTCCTGGCACAATCTTTGGGAGGGATCAGGCTGTGGAAACAGGTGGCCGCATCAGCCGGTGTTAGATGTACTGTGTTAGTACCCATGCATCAGGACATCAGTCCCCCTTGGCAAATGAAGCGAGGGAGACTCCTCCAAAGGGATGAGAGCTCCCGGCTCCATCTCTGGGCTGCTCCCTGGAGCAACCTGCCCGTTCTCCTGAGCCTGTGGTGGCTGTGGGCATGTGTGGTAAACGGCAGTTCTGCCCTGGTAAACACGCAGAGCCACCAAGGCCACCTTGGCCTTCACTATAAGGTCTGAAGGCACCACAACCAACCACTAGTTGTGTATCTCCCCCAGGGTTACCATCAAACAAGACAGCTGGGGCTACCTGTGGCAGCAAGAGTTCAGCCAGGGCTGCAAACCTGGGTCAGCACTTGTGCCATTAGCCTGGGTTGAGCTCCAGGCTGGTTTGGCTTTGTGGCAAAGCTGTTTCAAGTTAGCTCGTGTCTGCCTTAACTAGACATCAGTCCAGGCAAGGACAGCACTGCACACACACCATCAGGCTAGTATATAAATCAAAACCAAGGTAGAAAATCACCCCTAACCACAACTCGGCATCCTGCCTGAGCACTGAAGCTGTGGCCTTTTTCACCATGTAGCATCCCATCACAAACCAAACGCTGTCAAGGCAAACTGTGGTGCAGTTGCTTGTCATTGTGCAGGGACAGGGAGATGTCTGTCTCCCACCAGAGTGTGCAGCCAGCAGGCAGTTATCCCAGCTCTCAGAGCTGTTAGAAGCAGTTTAGCACACAGGCAAGGTCCTGTTGACTGATCTCAGGAGGAGCATTTCCAGACTGACTGATAGAAAGTCAAAGCTGATACATGCCGGTTCGCTCCCTGGACAGCCTGTGACTCACTGCTGGCTCCAGAAGGAGCCTATGTTCCGAGCTCAGAGGCCACCATCTCTCATGTCCTCCCTTTTCTGGTGGGTGGCATGTTTCAGCCTCTCAGCTGGTAGTAGGTCCTGCCTCAGGGCATCACTGACACCCCTCTCTGCTCCTCCCTAGGGTGGAGTTCCAGAACAAGTTCTACGTGGGAGCTGGGTACAAATTTTCTCCCTTCTCCTTCAAGCACATAATTGATGGCACCGCAGAAGAATGAAGCCACTGCATTGGTGCTTTACTCCTCCAACAAGGCTCTATTTTCTTGTGATCACTCACAGAGTAGGGTATATGGGATAAAACAGAATGGGATGTGGCCCTTGAAAGAAGAGCAGCTGGAGATTAAAATATCCTAGCTGCCTTCACATATACTGCTCTATCAACTGAGGACTGAACTATGTTGACCAGGCTGGTGGGACCCTTGGCTGAGTCTCTCCACTGATGTCTTTGCCAAGTACCTGGTCCTCAGCACTTGATCGGGTCAGCTGTCTGCTGCTTGGTTGAAAAGAGGAGATGCAGCTTTTGAATTAAATTGGTTATTAATAATCAACTCGCGTGTGTTTTGCTCCATTTACTGCCTTGTCTTTGTGGCATATTTCTTTACGAGGAAAATATGTTTCGGCTGTTTTTTCAAGCTGTGGTTGATCATATGACAATAATTAAGTCCCTTACAAGATTGCAGCCCTTCGTTTAGCACACAATGCAAACCAGCTCAAAGACAGATCACATTGCAGGCTTGCAATTTTCTACATGCTTTACTACAACAACCCTTTTTATATCTGATTTTCTCCAGGGCTTTACAGCACTGGATTATAGGCGTTTGCACACGTCATCACTTAACAAAAGTGTTAGTTTTGAGCTGTGTAAACAAGAGAGTGTGCCAGTTTCCACATTGGCAGCCAATTTATTTCTCTCTATTGACTTGTTTCTTGCTGGAGACTTAAGATGACTCCCCCTGTGCTGTATTTTTCAAGATGGGTTGTTAAAGCAGACTGTGTAGAAATGCTAATAGCTAGTGAACAGAAAAAACAGAGGAATCAAAACTGTTGAGATAATTTAAAATATTGATGTACTGTGATTTTCCTAAACATTAATGAATTATGAATCTTTCAAACTGAATAATGTTAATCATAAAAGGGTTGGGGTTTTTTTACCAGGCTGGATGTAAATTCCCAACACAGCACACCAATGGATTTAGAGGTGGCAGTGCTCCCTTCCATGGTGTGTGACCAAACAAGACTTATTTTTAAACTTCACAGCCCTGATACCCAGCTCCACTGAAAAAAACCTACCTGGGAGTGTTCCTAGCAGGACACAGAGTGGAGTAGTCACAATGGGCCATGACTCTGTAGTAGTCAGGCTTGAGAACCACCTTCCTGCTACAGTTTCCCAGGAGAAAATACAACCCCAGGCAAAGCAATTGTTCCACTTTTTCCCTTGTGGTCTCAAGAAGCCATACTGGCATTGAGCACTGATTACCAACAGAGCCATAAGCCTTTTTCCTTTTAACAACAGCTTGGGTTTGAAGCAGCAGCTGGAGCTGAGAAGATGTGGGCACTGGAGTGTGTCCATGACCCATGTGTGGCCTTGTGCCACCAGTTCTTCAGGCATGGTAACCTATGGTACAGACAAAAAACACATGGACATGAATGCAGCTGGTGTCACAGTTTCTCAGCATATGCACATCACCTTTGTTTCTTCTTTCTAGCCTATTTTTAAAATTCCTGTTCAGGAGAAAGCTGTCTTGAATCAAGAAAAGCCAAACTAGTTTGATGCATTACCAAACGCAAACAGTTTTCTTTATGAAACAGTGGGCGGATTTTCTGCACAAACACATATTTCATCTTTATTCCACCCTTCCATATGATTGCAATGTAACTGAGAAGGTGATTACCTGAAACAGATATCTGTTCCTTTCAGAGCTTCTTGGTGTTTTGCTTTTTGTCTGAGGTTTACATTCTAAGCAAGAAAAACAAGTTATCCTGTGAATACTGCAGGTGACAACATGGTCTGTTGTTTACTGTACCAAACAGTGATTCAAACATTTGGCTTAATTCCGTATGCAGTTCTCCTTTTCTGTGCGCAACTGAATAATGTAGTTGTGAATTTGTGATATGGGGACAGCACTTCCCTACTCCACAGGAGTACCAAGCTCACTTATCATCAAGGAGCATTCAGATGAAATACTGCTGAGAGGCAGGGTTGTTCTTACACACTTTGAGGAGAGCCCTAGATTTCATTTGGATTGTTTTAAAGACATTTAAAAATCCAGAAATGTTCCAGAGTGGCTTGTTTTTAAACGGGTTTCCTGCAGAAGATGAGGGGAATTTTGGAGCAGAGCAGTGACTGTCTGTTCCCCTGTACAGCTGCTGAGCTGAATGGGACCAAGCTTTCTAGCTGGTGCTGTGAATGTGGCGATCAGATGTGGTCAGATCCAGCAGAGACCACTGTTACAGACTAGGAGACCTTGGTCCAACACCCTAGTCTCTTTAACTGGGCTTTACCCATTGCTGGAGGAGATGTGACTTGTAATTAACCTGACTGAGAACTCTTTCCAAGTCAGGACCTCAGCATGCCCCTCTGGGGTGGACTTGGGATCAGTCCCTATGGAGCAATGGGTGCTTCTGGATCCAAAGCTCATGCCATTGCTTGCAAGGTGTTTGTTTCTGAGAGGTGATGACATAAGTTATATCATTTTGTAGGAAATTAATGTAAAAATGAATGACCGTGTAGGAAGGGAAAGGGATAACAAAGTCAATCAAACTGGTTTCAGTCACTCACACTCACACTCATCTCCTGGATTTTTTATTCCTTCTCACAAGACCCACTGCTGTGTGTGGGCCAGACCCTCCCTCCAGGATGGCTTTGATGACATGGAGGATGAGGAAAGCCAGATATTGAGTTCTTGTCCAGTCTCTTGGTCCTCTGGACTGATGATGATGAACTGGGTTTTGGACTCAACTTTCATAACCTAAGGATTCAACACTTTCTTGGAACTCAGCCTCGGGATCCTGCAGCAAACATCACTTTCCTTAGTGTTCGTGTGATGTCTCTCTGTCATGGCCTTGGCCAGCATGGAGACCTTTCTTCTCACCCTCACTCTCTTGTTTCTTCTGGAACTTTCACACATGGAGACATTTCCATCCATGCTTTGCTCTGATCAGTCTTTTCATTTCCCTCTCAAATAATTAAAATATCATGAGATGGTTAAAAAAAGCAATAGCCATAGCAACCCTTTGTTAAATTCCAAACACCTGGGCCTGAAAGAACATCTCTGTGACTGAGAATTTCACTGGTATTTTGGTCATTTTTTCCCTTCTGTGCTGGGAAGCTGGAATGCCAAAACATCTGTACCCGTCTGTGATTGCACGCACGCTGTCTGGGTTTTTGCAATGAAAATATAATGGTACGAATCTGGCAGCCTGGAACATGCATCTAGTTCAGCAGATGCCAATAATGGCTGTAGCTGAATATTAGATATTATTAAGAGGAAAATAAGACTCTGAAATAGCATATGTTGGCTGGTAACAAATGTCTTCCTGATGCTTGGAAGCATGAGATTCAGCATGGGAGTTACGTGCTTCGATAAATCTATTGCAACATCACCGCCAGCTCAGTGTACATATTTCAGAAGAGGACTTTGGGAATCCTCATGGAAGGGAGAGACAAAAACCATCAACACACTTGAGTAGCAAATGTTGACATATACACTCCTAGTCAAGAGCACATACCTATTGTAGGTCAGATTCACTGGCAAACCCAACCCATAGCACAGAGATTTGTTGCATGGTAAGGTCAGGATCACTGCAGCGGTTTAAGCTGTGAATTTAAGGGTTTAAGCCCTGCAGTTCAGTACTCAGTCAGGAAATTTAGAAGGATGAAGCAAATGAACAGGCCCCATATTTTCATGGTGACAGCAACTGAGTTGGCTTCCCCTGGCTTGAGGGGGGCTGTTGGCTGCAAGCACCTGCGTGCTACTCATGGCTTTTCAGGCGTTAGCCATGTGTGCTTGTGCTGCAGGACCTGCCCCTGAGATATCTCAGCTAAAATCTTGCTGGTATAGTAATAGGGGTATCTCCCCAGTGCCCTCCTTCCATCTCCCTGGGGTCGCTTTGTGGTGGCAGCCCCTGTGGAGGACCTGTAGGTGCCGTGAGACCAGCATAGGTCAGCACTGGGGTACCCTGCCTGCGTCACCTACTTCTGGGGGGCGGAGGTGGGTGGAGAAGGACCCGCCCGTGCCCAGCAAGGAGGAAACCTGACTCCTGGGAGCTGGATCTCAAACCCAGAGCACCGCCAACTCTGTAAAAGAAAATAGCAGAAGGAAAAGAAACAAGACAGAAAAGAGGAAACATCTGCTTCTCTGTGCCTGAAACGTTGCAGAGGTAAGGAAAAAAAAAAAGAAAAAAATTATCTAAACGAGCCTTGGCATAATAGTGGGAGTATGTGATCATTCGTATGTCACATGCAGAACCTCTATGATTTTACTGACAAAATTCCCAGATGGTCTCATGTGCAGCATTGCATATTGTGTGCCCTTCATGGCCTTGTGGCCCTCCGGTGTGGGGTCATGGCATCCTTCTGCCGGGTCCTGGCAGCAGTTCCACTGTGCTCTTGGTTGCTCCCTTTGGATGGAGGATGGCTATTTTCCCTGACAGCAGCAGCTTTGTCATTGCTGTTCTTTTGGCTCATGTAATTGGCATTTAGTATTTTCAGTGGATTTTACAAATAGTGGGAAACTTGTGTCTCCCCGAAGAGGCGTGATAGACACTAGCTGGTCCATCAAGGCAAAGAGGGCTGCAGAGGTTTGTGATGAGCAAACTGTGGGTCTGTTAGAACTGTTAGGAGGTTTAATGAAGCATTGCATCTAAGTCTCTGTCTTTTGGACATAAACACTAGAGCAGAGCATACAGTGCCAGGGACTTACCTGAACAGTGGCTTCCTGTCTGCTTATGGATGAGTAAATTTTGCTCCAGCTGCTCCAATACCTAGACAGGGGGGATGAAGGTACAAGCACAGATTTCTGGTGTTACTTGAAATGTTAGAGAAGGTATTCTGCCTGCTCACCTGCTGCTATTTGAGAGCAGTGTTGGTCTCCCATAGGTGCTATCCACCATCCTGAAACCTCTGGAGGTGTCTTGGCTACTGTGGGGTGTCAGAGTTGACATGCACCCTTCTGCTTGTGCACCTGAGCCTCACTGGGGATTCTGCACAGCAATGCCAGGGTTCAGGGTTCCCTTTCCTTTTCTGGAAGAGCTGCAGCACTTCCCAGATTGGTGGCATGTAGCCCAGAGTAGGTGAGCTCCAGTGCCTCTCAGCAAAATTTAAGAGTATCCCAGCATCAGGATGGGTGTGCAAGGGCCCATGACTTGATCCTTGTCCTGGTCATGCCCCAGCCTGGCCTGCCAGTGCCCTGAGCTGTGCCTGCTGCAGGCTTCAGAGGAGAGCAGCTGTTTAACCAGACACAGGTGTGGTGTGGCAGCTTAAGGCAGAATGTGTTTGCAGGTTCCTAATCATAAAGGAACAGAAAAGGAGAAAACAGGTCCCCAGCTTTTGTTATTGCAAAGCCCTTCACGATTCAGCCACACAGTAAAGCTTCACCTCTTCTCAAGGGCTCTTCCAAAGCACCTTGTTTCGGTTGCTCTTGAGCTGGTTCCACTTGGAAATGGTCCCTAGCTGGTGGCTAGCATGGTCAGCTGGTGTCACCATGTACTGCAGGCAGCAAGGATGCTGCTGATAGTTGTAAGCAATATCCTACATGTCCTCTTGTATGCTGGGCTGTAATGATCTGTAACAGCAAGGTCAGTGTATGTGACCCAACCAACTAATCTGTCATTAGCCCTTAAGGACCTCCTTACAACTGTACCTCACTATAATGGTTTTAAAGTATCCAGCCTGGGAATACTGTAACTCTGTGCTTTCCGAGTTCGTGCTGCCCTCTATCTCTTCTGGGATTTTGTATCTTTAGCTAGATGCTTTCATTAATCTCCTCAAGCTCTCACCCTTCTGCAGCCTCTTCCATCACTGCTGGGTGGCCATGAATGCTGTCTGGGTCAAAGGCAGCACCCCTGAAGGGAGGCAATCAAAGGAGAGAGTGTCATCAAATTGATGACCCCGCTCCAGTGTCTGAGCATGCACTTGGCAAGAAACCTTGTGGGTTAAAGCAACAGTGTGCTTAATCCCTGCCCTGGGATTAAGATGAGCTTTTCTGATCAGGAAAGGCAGCTGCAATCAGGCCAAGGGATCTAGTGCTGGAAACTAGAAACACTGGTGGAGGAAGCCAGCTCTCCCCTGTTGCAATCCCGCAGCATGGCTGTGTTTCCTGATGACCTGAGGATGGGGATTAGCGCTGGGGAAAGTGAGGGGGGTGGGG